GCAACTGGTTGGCCACAGTAGAGAAAAGGATGCTGAATTCAATAGGCCTTTGATGAAGTCCAACAGGGATCTCACATTCCTCTCACACTAATACAAGGTAAAGCAAGCTAGTATTATGCCACTAGTTTAGATAAGGATATGACTGTGAGGTAGCAGCTTCCTCCAAAGACTGACTCATAGATGTTAAGTATCACCTTTTTAGCTACTGCACAACACTGTGATCACTACACAAGGATTCTTAAAAGTCATGTTAATTCAAAATGCATTTTGAATTTCAAGCTTTATTTCTAATGAAGAAAAAAAAAATATTCAGCAGTTATTGACTGCAGTAAGCTTTGACCATGTCCACTCTCATCTTCGCTGGGATGAAATGCCAGCTGGTTTCTTCACTCCTAGAATTGTCTCTTGCACCTTTTCAATAAACATTTATGTAGTTTTATGAAAAATTATTGTCCAATTTTGCTTCCCTGTCCTCTCCCCTTCCCCTGCTGTAGTTGTTCAGATTATGAAGCTGCAGGGAAGAACTATTGCTGATAATCTGCATATAGAATCTAAATCACTTTAGGATCTGAATTTTCTGAAGGAACTGATATATAGGAAAGCAACATACTATCAACATACTATCAGGAGGATAAGATTAGATCTACACCTTTGGAACATGGTGATTTGGTTACTCAGTAACATTTTATAGTGGAATAAGCAACCAGGGCTGCCTCAGTTTGCCACTGAACTTGCTTCCAAGATAAGTATGAAAAGCACAGCCATACTCCAGGCCCGTAGTAAGTGATCAGCTGACCTTTTTCTTACTATTAGTTCAATGGTCCAGTCATGAGCATTGCATATACACTACGAAGGATATTCCACTCCTTTACAGTCTGCACCAAATTTTAGCATGGCTATTCGACTAATCCAGGAAACCTACTATGAAAAATGTAAGCATGTTGTAAGTCATGGAGGAAAGAAATTCAGAGGACAAAGTCCTGCAGTGGTTTAGCTGCTTGCGGAGTAAAACATCCCACTCAAAACTCTTTATAGATAAGCCATTCAATTGTCTTGTTGGATAGTGTCATATATTGTATAAAAACACACTTCAGAACAGCACCTCTTTTTTATTACACTGGGCAACAATTTTTTACTTTTTGAATGTTGTCTAGATTTCTACAACTGATTTAGGGTATTTTTGCACTGCTGAATCAGGAAATGGCATCCGTTTCTCTCCATCAGGTCAGATTTTTGTGCTATGCTGATTGGAAAAAAAATCAGATCTTGTGACAAAATCGATTACATTTTTGTGGCATTATCAGCTGATTTTTGTCAACACATATCATCCTAAATATGTTTTTAAGAGAAAAAAATGTTTTTCCAACAACAAATATTGATTACCTGATAGAAACATCGATTACTGTAAACTGAATGGTGGGCATTGATAAAGGTAAGTACACGTAAATTGCATGTTGCTTCACCATTTTTCAAACTTCAGGGCTTGAAATTCCATTTCTTGGAACTCCTGGAATGCTCAGCGGCAGGGAGGTCTCTTTTCAGAGTCCAACAGTAGTCAGCCATCATGACTGCATCCCAGCGACCCTGATACCTGGTCTCCATCTCTTTCATGTCCTGTTGGAATCTCTCCCCCTGCTCGTCACTCATTGAACCCAGGTTCTCAGGAAACCGGTCCATATGTGAAAATAGGTAGTGCATCTTGACGTTGCAGCCTAGGTTTCTGAAAGCAATCAGCATGTTGTTGACAAGTTCTGCGTAGTTTCTGGCCTTATTGTTGCCAAGAAAGTTCTTCACTACCAGAACAAATGCCTTCCACGCTTCCAGTTCCACTTCGTTCATTGAGTTTCTGAACTCTGGATCTCTGATGAGCTGACGGATCTGAGGACCGTCAAAGATGCCAGCTTTCAACTTCTCCATGATCAGTCCTGGAAAAGCCTGGCACAAGTAAGTGAAGCAGTCACCATCCTTGTCCAGAGCCTTGGTGAACTGCTTGATTAAGCCGAGCTTGATGTGCAGCGGTGGGAAGAGTATTCTGTCTCTGTCCACCAGAGGGTCGTTGATGACGTTCCTTTTTTTGCAAGGCACCAATTCCTCCCGCATAGGCCAGTCCTTCTTCGTGTAATGCTGAGCACGGTCCCTACTATCCCACATGCACAGAAAACTTGGGTACTTGGTGAAGCCAGACTGTTGTCCCAACAAAAAGTTCACCATCTTCAGGTCAACACAAATAAACCACTTATGCTGATCATAACCAATTTTCTCCAGCACATACTTCACCCTTTCATAGTTCTCCTTCAGTGTACTCGAGTGAGCCAGGGGTTTTGATCCCCCAACTTTATGCTTTGCCGCACCAATTTATGGAAGATTTCGAGGTTTTATGACTTCAAACTGATCCCTTTTCGACATAATCACCCAGAACTATCAAACCTGAATACCTCTTGTCATTAAAATAATCATTTCCAATCAAAACAATTATTCGACATGGCATTTTACCCCCACCAACTTCTTCTAAAATGCTCCACACAAGCGTACATGTGAACAAAAATGTAAAAAAACGACATGTGGCCATAACTCAAAAACTTGACCTGATTGAGCAAAACCAATGTGATTTTTGGATTCAGCGTATCAGATTCGTCCTAAATCAGCTGAAAAAACGCAGACAACAAATTTGTTGTTGACCAGTGTTATTAAATGTACTGAATAACTGCATAAGAATGTTAACGAAGAGCTACTTTTTGTCATTACAGTTCAATTCAGGTTATAGTTTAGGCAGCATCATTTAATTCCTTTCAAAGCCCATTTGATGGATTAATTTCTAGCACCTAAAACACGTTTCTACTACACATGCACTTCCATATATATGGCATTTCTTTTAGTACAAATTTGAGATAACTGTTTTATCATTGACTTTCTATAGTATGGGACCATTCTCTATGCTCCAACCTCTCACCAGCACAAGTAGTTGTGGAGATACACAACAGCAAGATAGAAGAGACCAAGAGCTGATACTAAATCTACCCAAATTGAAAAAGGCAACTCTTCAATTGCATAAAAGGCTATGATAAAAGGCTTTTTCTTGTACCTCAGAAGTATTAACTGGCTGTAGCCAAATACAGAAATTATCAGCGACAATTCTCATATCAAGTACTCAGAAATAATAATAAATGTCCTCAGATGTACTTATGCAATATTCTTGATTACAGGAAGGTACAATGTCAACCAGAAAACTACAGGTGCACTACAAACTTATGCTTATGTTATTCGACAGGTTCAAACTCAGGTCACCCAGGCTTGTGTTGACATGTAGCATCACATTCTCAAGTTGCAAAACTACGTTTGCAACCTTGCAATTAAAGGCATCCTCCTCCCTAGAGATGTGAAATGCTGTGCTGCGAATCCTTAAGGTCTACCACTGAACTCCCAATTGCTGAAGAGTCTCAGTGGGCATAGCACCTTCTGAGATGGTAGGGTTTCCACATGTAAGAACTTAATGTAAGATCTGGTTAAATGCTGCAAAAAAACCACACAATTTAGAACTTATTTCTTCCATATATTATTCAGGAAAAGTTTTACTTTTCTGCATTTCACACACTGGTTAGAATCCAGTGAAGCGGCCCTCCGTGTGCACAGGGAGCATATCCTTTGAAGAAATGCCATATAGTCAAGGCAATTCTACCTGCAATAACCAGCAACATGAACCAACCGTTAAGGTTTTTGATTATAACCAAGAATTACAACAGAATAGGTCATCCCACATTTGAACCTTTAGTTGCATGATCTAGTAATACAGCCTTTCTGCTGCAGAAATGTGGCTTCAAGTATAAATCTTTTAATATTATAATGAACTTTATATAAAAAAAAATTTATTAGGAATGAATGATAGAAGACCTGCTTCCCCTCACCTAAGAAAGGGTATGTTGTGTAGTCAAAAACCAAGAACTGTGAGAAATGTTAACCTTAGGATTCAATGGTGAATGGCTTCCTCAAGACTACATGTCTAACAGTATTATTTAGTAACAATCTTATAACTAGCACAGAGCAATTCCTATAACAGAATTTTATTTGCAAACCAGGTCTTCTGTTTTGGAAAGCCTGACAATCTCACCACTGGCAAATGGAAGCACTGACAACCACAAGATCAGGCTTGTGAAATTACACAAAAGTCCACATTACAAATCTGATCTTCTTTGGCAGACTACCCACAGAAGTTTATCAAAAAGGAACAGCAATCTTTGACTTGTTTGCATGTACTAGGCCCTACACACAGTTGGAATCAAGCCCCACTCACTGTAATTTCCGGTTGTGTTTAGGCTTCTGAACGTGAAATTCCCCCAACACATGTTCCTTCTTCGGTGGAAAGATAATTGTTTTTGCTTTTCCTTTGGTGACTGAGTTAAAAAATAATAAGGAACAGTTCCAGTGGCATGTAACTCCTTTATAGGAAGTACATCAATAATTGAAACCCATTTTAAATAATTCAATATTAAGCATGCTTTCTCCTTACATTCTCTCTACACTATGAAAACCAGGTGCATTCATTCATGCTAGAAATAACAAACATTGCACATATATTTCAGGTACATTTCTAGAAAGTTTGACTTGTCAAGTTATATTTCACAACTCAAGTGGGAAAACTTTACAATGCATATTTATTTTTAAGGTGTACAAAAGGGTGAAAAAGTCACACCGTACTGCAAGTAGTAATCATTGGCACAAAAATACCTGGGTACAAAAATATAGGAAATGTATGTTGCATAAAAGGGTCAGTGGTGATTTGCATTGAGCAGAAGGGTTTAAACAGCAGCATTTTCTTCACATTATTATTTGTGCAAATGCATCGTTAAGAATATTTACAAAAAAGAGAAGAAAACTAGGCAAGGAAACCATGGTAGGGCTCCAAGTGCATCTAGCTGACCAGTTACCCTCTGAAATGTCCTGCTGCCCTGACTGAGCAACAGAGCCCATGTAAACTTCCTCTGCCTCTCATTAGGGAATTCATGCTAAGTGCTGAGCTCCTCAATTAAGTCTTCCACTGTGTATATGATAAGTTTGATATCTTCCTTCTCTTTCATCCGATGGTGACCAGCTTTGCGGAGAATAATATCCACATCTGTGCTAACAACGCGTTCTGCAATCTTCATAGAAGTCTCCCACGGGACATCCTCATCTTTTATGCCATGGATAAGCCTCACAGGACATTTTATGGGAAGAGGGCTAGTTAACACACAGTGATTTTCTGCTTCCTGGATGAGTCCATATGGCACAGAATAAACCCCTTCTTCGTTGTGCTTGGTTGGCACCTTCCATTCACCTTTTTCTTCAATTTCCTTTTTTAACTAGGAATAAAAACATATATCTATCTATATATATATCTATTACAAACTAAACTCACAAGGCAGGACTTGAAAGTCACTCTCCATCCTAAGGTGAGTTTCTCCAAGTGTTAACTGATATCAGCACCTCACCATCACATAATTATGGACTTGCATCATCAAAGGAACACCAAGAGTAGGAGAGGAAGTTCAAAACAAATCTTTTTCACAGCTGGGATAGGCCACATGTAAAGTAGTGCTTTTATCAAGTAAATAATTGTTACAAGCTCAACCTGCAGTTGTGTACTGGTTAAGAAAAAGGGCTACAAAAAACTAGGAAGGACAAAGCTTGATTCTGCTGTCAATGCACTATGAAGATTCTTCAGTTATCAATACATCCAAAAACCATTTTCAGGACTTGTCACACCAAGCACCAGCAGAAGAAATAAAACTCAAAGCAGAATATTCAAGTGAAGGTGCAAAGGACCAGATCTATTCTTAATAATTCCCACTGTGATCTAGTTGGGAAAGTTAACAAGTTACAATCTGCAACAGTTGGAAAGTGAACAAACCCAGATTCTTAGATAGGGTTTAGATAATGTTATTCATCAGCTTTATAGAGATGTTAAACAGCTTAGGAGAGCCTTGCTCAGTGGGTGGAGCCACAGCAATAGACCTCCCAGAAATAGCATCACTGATGCTAAAGTTGTGGCGACACAAACACACCGGCAGAGCCAATCTAATGTTGCTGCTGACATACCTGTGAACCCCAACCTCACTGTCAAATCCACTGCTGAAGCTCTGCCCCAATGAGCACTCCTTTAAGAGCCTGGGGGACATGATGGAACCCTGTAGGACCCTGTACTGTCAATGCCACAGGGCCAATCAGCTGTTGCCCAGTCATGTAAGTGACATTTCTCCACACACATGCTGTCTATAATAACAAAAGCCTTTTAGGTAGTGAAGTAAAACGTACAAAAAAAGAGGGTCACTTAAAAAATTAGTGAAGGCATCTTAAAAATGTCAAGTGTTTATTTGACAATCCTCAAACAGCTTGCAAAAGTAGGAAGAATTGTTTTCTGTGCTTTTTCTGTCTGACATACACTGTGTACTCTTAAGACAGAACACTACTTCTACACCAAAAAAAAGAGTGCCTATTTCGATCAGGAAAGCTTTATTATTCCTCCTTACCTCTACAGGAAGCTGTTGGTAAGTTGATACTAGATAGTCTGCCGCTGCAGCTACTCCAACTAGTGCAGCCACCTTCTCTGGACGAGCAATTGCAGCATGAAGCATCAACCATCCGCCCAAACTGGAACCAACTAAAATCTTAATGTGAGACCAGTATTCGTTAGTTTATTGCGAGCTCGTTAATCAACTGTGCCACCATAAACAAAAAGGGTCAGGAGATAAAGCCACTTTAAGTGCTATGAGGACTGTCCAAGAGAATATGAACACCAGTTGACATGGCAAGCACATTTGCAGTCTTGTACCTTCTGCACTTCAATCAGTACCTTGGGGGGGGGCTGTTATTACTTAGCATCGTTCTTGGGTGGTTCAAATATGTTGTCTCTATTGCTCTAAACATATTTTAAAATTTTATTTTAGAGCTGTGTAACACACATGCTTAAATATGCTCTCAAATGAACTTTTTAAAAAAGCAGTTTTACTCAATTATCTCATGAACAACAATCATCCAGCAAATGTTATCAACCAGAAGCCAGATTCCCAGCAGCATTGTGGGAACATGAGCGATATCCAGTTAGACTATGGGTAGGCAAACTAAGGCCCGGGGGCTGGATCCGGCCCAATTGCCTTCTAAATCCAGCCCGCAGATGGTCTGGGAATCAGTGTGCTTTTTACATGAGTAGAATGTGTCCTTTTATTTAAAATGCATCTCTGGGTTATTTGTGGGGCATAGGAATTCGTTCATTATTTCCCCCCCCAAAATATAGTCCAGCCCCCCACAAGGTCTGAGGGACAGTGGACCAGCCCCCTGCTGAAAAAATTTGCTGACCCCTGAGTTAAGACAGTTCCTCCAGTGCAAGAAGTTTTAGCTGTGCCATGCAACTTCCTGCTCTCTACTCGGGTGCTCCCTAAATCTGTTGCAGGGGTGCTCTCATATCCCTGGGGCATATTTGTAAGGCATGCAGGGAGAGGGGAAACTCCTTGCGCTAGTGGAACTGTTTAGTTGCATATGTTTGCTTCTTTGAAAGTTACACAGGCTGAAAATGGAAACATATTCAACAACTTTTATTCACGAAAGAGGGCTTGGACTACATTCAGAGGGGCTGCCAACCTTTCCGGAACTGTGGGGATATTTAGGCACCACAAACCCTGCACAACCAATTCTACTGGCTACAGCAGAAACCTTGTTTAAAAAAAGGGAGGGGGAGCTTAATTTCAGGAAGCAGAACACCACACTAGCAACCCCTGTACTTGTACCTGAAAGAAAATTTTATGCTAGGTTTAAAAATAAAGACATAGTCAACCTGTGGTCCTTGTGTAAGTTCATCCAATACCGCAAGTACATCCTTCCGCCACTTTCCCAATGTACATTCTTTAACATCGCCTTCTGAACTTCCACAGCCTCTATAGTCAAACCTGTGAAATTAGGCAAGAGAGGGATCTCAATAAAAGCATAGATTGCGCAAACGACACTCAACAGGGTCACAAAATGCAAAGTCTGGAAAACATTAACAATACAAAGAGTTGGAATACATTTCATTAACATTTACAGAAGGTTCAGAATAATAATAATTTATCAATGTAATTTATTGAACGGTGTTTGCATTTAATTAGCATATACTTCTAAGACATACCTTACAAAAGCGTGGCCCACTGATTTGCAGTAGTCTTCGAGTGCAAGTGCCTTGTTACCATTCATATTTGAAAGAAAACCTGAGAGGAAGACAACTCCAGGATTCTTGCCTTTTAGCTTGTGATAGGCTAGGTTTGGATTATCAGGACGGCTAAGAAAACTGTGTGAGGATTTTTGTCTGCAACCTAAACAGAAGACATTTCTAAGCCATGTATATTTTGCCTATTGACAGTATTGATACATATCATTTGTAAAAGCTAGCAGTGGTCTGATGTCAGCTGGTGAACAGTCCTGTCTGCAACTTTTCACTATAATTGTTTTCAAAGTAAAAAACAAAAACAAATCCAGAGACCAGAATGTGCAACACACATATCATATGCAAACATTGTCATCTATTGAGGTAGATAATCATAGAAATAAGAATCATATGAATGTTTTAAAATTATATCCATTGATTTGACAAACACTATACAACGAATTAACACATATACAGAAAATAAACAAACCATTATTTTTTAAATTTACCTTCCACACATCCATCAACATCAGGGTGGATTTGATTTAAATCATGATTTAAATCACTAGTCAGAAAGACGATTTAAAATTTATTTATTTTTTATAGACAGACTCATTTTTACTGGTATACAGTGGTACCTCTGGATACGAACGGGATCCGTTCCGGAGCCCCGTTTGCATCCTGAAGCAAACACAACCAGCGTCTGTGTGTCGCGATTTGCTGCTTCCACGCATGACGTCATTTTGAGCGTCTGCGGCGAAACCTGGAAGTAACACATTCCGTTACTTCCGGGTCGCTGTGGAGCGTAACCTGTTAACGCTCAACCTGAAGCAACTTCAACCTGAGGTATGACTGTAATCTTAATATTCACAACCCGAAGAATGTTCATTTTTGGAATAATAAATTTTCAGAGTAGTTTTTACAGTTATATCAAAAATTATTGATTTGGTTATACTATTAGAAATACATAGACATATAATTATGAAATTATGGTGAGGTTTAATAAGTTAACTGTTCATATTTGGACAACTTTTCTGCTGTACTTTATTGGAAGGAGAAAAATAATCATTTCTCTAATAACAATTTAAACAATTTATTTAAATAAAACAATAAAATTATAGCATATGTATCCATGCTGACCTTTAAAACCCTAAATGGCCTCGGTCCAGTATACCTAAAGGAGTGTCTCCACCCCCTTCGTTCAGCTGGGACACAGGTCCAGTGCCGAGGGCCTTCTGGCAGTTCCCTCACTTCAAGAAGCAAAGCTACAGGGAACCAGAGGGCCTTCTTGGTAGTGGCGCCCGCCCTGTGGAACGCCCTCCCATCAGATGTCAAGGAAATAAACAACTATCTGACTTTTAGAAGACATCTGAAGGCAGCCCTGTTTAGGGAAGTTTTTAATGTGTGATGTTTTATTCTGTTTTTAATCTGTTGGCAGCCGCCCAGAGTGGCTGGGGAAACCCAACCAGATGGGCTGGGTACAAATAATAATAAGCAGGTCCGGGTCTTCTGGCCTGTGCTTCAAAATGAGACTACATGAGAAAAACCTTGTGACTTCAAACAAGCTTGCATCAGCTTTATGGTAGAGTGTGATTTCTTGGGCAGGAGGAAGGGAGGCTTAGTCTGCGCTTTCCAGGGACTCGCATGTCTCTGCGAAAACAAAACAGTGCGGTGGGAAGTGGTGTGGCCACCTGTTCACACCATGCGCAACGCCAGTGGCCACACAGAAATGACACAAGAGTGTTTAATCCGGAGTGACAGAAGAACCCCATGGCCTTTCTTTAAAGCCTCATGGCTGCCAACTTCTCTTTCTCTTCCCACCTTTTTCTCACCACAAAGGCAGCCTTCGTAGTCCGCCTCTGGCTGGGCAGGCACGAGGCAATGATGGCTATCAATCGGGTGGCATTTAAAAAAGGCCGAATTCATGGCGGAAAGGGCCACTGGCGGCCACGATGGCTACTGCTTGTCAGGGTTAGGGTTAGGGACTGGAAGAATCCGTGACCAGAAAGAACAGGAATATCAAGAAGATTGGAAGAAATTTAAGGACTATTTGAATAAATATTGTAATATAAATAATTAGAAATGACTTGAAAGCACCAAAAAGGCCTAGGATTAAATTAGGATTTAATTGCAAGTAAATTGGATTTAGAACAGTAAGAAAAGAGAATAAGATAGTTAATTGCTGGATATAATTTTAGTTTAAGAATTATATTGGAGAGCTGTTACATGCAGATATAATGAAATTCAGAAGGGAGGGATTTGAGGAAGTCAATTAACAATGGAAGAGAAATTAGGTTTTCAAGGGATATGTGTTTAAGATTTCTTTTTTTTTAATATTGTATTGTGTTTTCTTTTGTGTGTTTTCTTTTCCTTTTTTATGTTATATTTGTTGTAATTGTGGAAAATTTAATAAAAAAATTTTTGGGGGGGGAAACAAAAAACGATCGCTAATGTTTGGAGCCAGAGGCGCTTCTGAATCCTGCTTGCTGGCTTCCCTCCGGGGCACCTGGGTGGCCACCGTGAGAGAAGATGCCCGACTAGGCGGGCCATTGGCCTGACCCAGCAAGGACGCGGATGGGGGGGGGGAGGGAATTGGCTGCCCGCCAGTTGTCGGACTACAACTCCCATGATCCTTCGCCACGGGGCTGAGGGGAGATGGAGTCCGACAACACCTGGAGCCACGCAGGAGCCTCGCCCGCGTGAAGCCTCGGAAGGAACCCACGGAAAGAAGAAAAAGAGGCGGCGGAGGAATGGCGCTTCCATCGCGCTACCGTCCGGCCGAGCCACGCCCCCTCGCACTTACCCGGCAGCTGAGGGAAGCCCACCAGCGCCGTCGCTCGAGCGGCCTCTGGGCCCCAGCAGCGGCGGCGGCGGCTCTCCCGCCACAGGACTCTCGCCGCCCCCGCCATCGCCCTCCAGCACAGACACGCGAGCCAGCGCCCTTTCCCCTCGGGCCGCTCGGCGAGGAAGCGAGCGCGCATGCGCCTGGCCAGGTGGTGGTGGGTGGAGCCTGTCGGTTTTAGACTACGCATGCTCGGAAAGCCCGCTAGGGTTCTGTGGGAAACGCGGGAAAGGTGAGGAGAGCCGCTGGGAAGTGGAAGCTGGGCTTGGAAGGAGGCAGGATTTTGCTGTCCGTCTTCATGACTGCTCGCAGTGAGAACCTTACGGGCGGGGTAAAAATGAACACTTGAGAGGGAATGGGAGGGAAGTTTGGGGTTGGGCTGGATGACCTTTGGGGTACCCTTTTGAAAATCAGTTCTATGGAAACTGCCCGTTGCTGCTTCCTCGCCGTCAAATTCCGGTGACACTAGTTACGGTGTATTAGATTGTCCCAAATAATAACACAATAACCGGCCTATTACGAAGCTGATGTAAACGTGTTTATTATATTTATTTTTTTGCTTTCCCCTCCCAGTCTCACCTCCCTATGGGGAATCTTATGCATGCCCCGAGGGTGGTTTAATTATTTTTAACTCATGTCCCTACGCTATGGACGGATGCTTTGGGGTTAGGGAGGGAAAAGTACACCTTTTCCCCAGAGCAGTATTGTTAGTCTGCACTGACTCAAAAGAGGCTCTTCAGGGATTTAGGCAGGGAAAATTCCCAGCCCTATGTGGCGATGCTGGGGATTGAACCTGTGAGCTTCTGTGTGAACTACACAGCCTCTCCCCAGTTAGGGCGCAATTCCCCCACATTCGTGTTCAGACATCCAACTAATCCTTAGCCTTAGAAGCTGCAAGTTGTAGGAGACTAGCTCAGGTTTGGGACTGGGGGTCTGCTGTAATATAAGGGTTTTGGAAGAAAGGCCGGCGTCTTGACTGCTGCCAGAGAGAGACCCCAGTCCTGCCTGGATGCTGCTCCACCCCATATGCTGCCAAGCATATGAGTGAATTTAGTATTAAATTTGAATTTATTAAGGAAACAACATATATGTTCAAATAGCTTTAAAATAAGAAATTTCAGTATTGTGAAAGACGCAGCTTTAAAAGATGTGTTGGAATTGATTTTAATGGAGTACAAACACGTAGCTGCTTAGTGTTATTATTGGAAAGCATACAGAAAATCTATCTTTAGATACAGTCTTTCAAATGATCATCACATTGGTTTATGTTTGCCACATACAATTAGGTCAGAGGTTTTCAACCTTTTTGAGTCCACGGCTCCCTTGACCAACTACTCTTTCTGTGGCACCCCTGTGGGCCTCAGGACCCCAGTTATGCAGTTATGCCACCCCTTGCCTGCAGAACTGGCAGCCCCTCAACCTTTTTGAACGCACTCCCTTGTGGAGTGTTCTCTCAGGCTCCTCTCCTTGAGAGTCCTTTGGGCAGCCGCTGCCCCTGGTCTCTGAACTCTCTCTCCCCCCCTCACTGCACCAAAGAGAGGTGCCTCCTGCCCTGCCCCACAAGGGGCTGGGAAGAGGATGCCCCCAGCCTTAGTGGCCCAACGGAGACTGGCCAGAGGTGAACATGAAGCTAGCACCTTACCTTGGGAGGCTGCAATGGCAGCAATGGGTGCTGCTGGGCCTGCATGGCGGAAAGGCTCCCTTTCAGCACCGGGTACTCAGCTCCCAGGCAGGCCTTGCACACAGCAAGCACAAGACCAGTGCAGCACCTGCCTGCCTGGCATCCCACTTGTCTGTCCATTCCCAACAGCAAGGGCTGGTGGATTAGCTGATTGGCCCCATCGTCTGCTTGCTTGCTTACTTACTCCGAGGCTGCCTCAGCTCCCAGCAACCAGCACCCCCTGGCCAGCCCCCGAGGCGCACCATTCAGGTGGGGAGCTTGTAGCTGGGGCTGCTGCAACAAAAAGCCATGCGAGCCTTTGGGAGGCAGAAACAAGAGAGGGCATCAGAAGAAGGAGAGAAGGAAAGAGGGACAGAGGCCAGTGTTGCTGAAGGCATCCCTGGCCATCCTTCAAGGCACACCAGGTTGAAAACCAATGAATTAGGTGTTTGAAGAAACAGATTGTGTCTTGAACAGTCATAGTCTTTCTATGTTCCCATACCCACAATAAATGAATGGGGATTTAAAATAGATTCAAGGTTTTCAGTCTGATTCTACCCAGACATGTACCTTACGTCCTACTCTGTTCAAGAGGGCTTGTGGCCTAGAACAGGAGTGGAGAACCTGGGAGTTTAATGCAGCTCTCCTGTCTAGTCCTCAAGTTACAGGTTCTCCTTACCCACACTATCTGGCTGGCCCTGTCCTTTAATTTTTGTGGGGTTTTTTGCTGGTCACAGTGTGTGTCCTTGAACTCTGTTAATGGATGACAGATAGAGTGGGACGTGTAGAAACTAGCCTTCTGTAGAAACGTAAAATGTGTATTTATTACTCCACCAAGTTTTGCTTCTGTTCCCACCCAACTGTGGCTCCCCAGAAGGTGTACCCCAAAGGGAATACAGCCCCCAGGCTGAAGAAATGTTCCCCGCTCTTGTTGCAGGAAATGTGGCTAGGATTGCATGAGCACATAGGGTGTGATCAGCCTTGTAAACATGCCCAGAAAAGTTACATATCCTGCAGCAAATTTTGCTAGTCTGCTAAGGACTGGGGAGCTCATAATGATTGGTGAATGCAAACAGAAGTCCTACCACTGAGCTAAAGACCTTCAGGGCTGCACACTGATTAAAGCTTCCTGCTGTAAGAAACCAGACATATTATTTGAAAATAAAAGATCAGGTATTTTCAAACATTTATTTGAATGTTATTACAACATGGAAGATACAAAAAGATTAGAAAACCTGTAAAACGATATAGAAGTAAAATCAAAATACATGACAAAAATTATATAACCCAATGCCACTCATTTCTGGAATTTATCCTCAAACATTGCAAACATCATTTGTTTTTATTTATGGGAATTTCTATACTGCTTAATTTTTATTTTTTAAAAAACCATCTAAGCTGTTTATCCAGTCTTCTTCTTTTTTTTACAAAAGAGGATTTTAATTAGGCTTTGTGATAAGAGATCCTTTCTTTCTATTCACAATGTTATCATTTATACTGCATTCCTGAAAAATCACTTACATCACAGTAGATTGAAACTTTAATCAAACTTAAGCAAATGTAGCCTTAAACCATGCTTGTCAGGCTGCAAGTCAGAGCTGGGGTAACTCAGGCCAGGAAGCCCTTGGGGGGGAATATGCAGGCCACGCCCCCTCCATAGGCCACACCCCTCACCAGTCCTGTGCCACACCCTCCTGGAGTGTTTTTGCCTCTGTTAATGCTGCTTCTTTGCCTGGATGGTGAGCTGTGTAGGCTGCTTCTGTAGAAACCTCCTGCAGGGCTGTAATGTAGCCTACTGAAAAATGTTCAGTCTCATTCAATTGCTCCGCCCACTTTGCCTCTGCCCCACCCACCATTGTCATGTGGTCCCCAGTAGGCTGGGGAGCAATGGAATAGGTCCCTCATGTTGAGAAAGGTTCTCTAACCCTGCTGCAAGCACACTTGGACGTAATTTTTCAGGACTGCGGCATTTGTGAACTATTGTAACCACATTATTGGCCATACCATATTGTGTGATTTTTTTTTAACAATAACAAACAAACAGCTCTTTTCATGCAGGATATATTTAAACTTAAACCACTTCTGCGAGTGTGATTTATCTATATTTTTCTTGAACAGAAACAATGATTTTCATTTCCTACATTAAAAAGCATATGGCACTTACAAATTCAGATTATTAAAAGAGAATATCAAACACAGACTTGAACTTAAAAATTCAATCATTCATCTGAACACAATATTTAAGGATTAAAATGTGTTTTCTTTTAATGGAAAAGATCTTCAAGGAATATATAATTTTTATGAGAGAGATACAGTAATCCCTTCAATTACACAAACACTTCAGACTTTCTTGGGTGAATGCTATGTAGCAGCCAGCTTCAGACTATTGAACTTTAACTGATCCACTGGGTCTAAAACAGTTTGCCATATCATAATAGGAAGCTGTCTTATAGAAGATTAAGACCATTTGACCACCTTGTCCAGTATTGTCTATCATTCTGACTGACAGCAGCTTCTTAGAGTCTCAGGTAGAAGCCTTTTTACATCACCTGCCTGAACCTTTTAAATTGGAGGACATGGATTGAAACTGGTGCTTTTGGCACTCAAAACATCTTTTCTACCACTGATCTACAATCTCCCATATCAGTTGCTTAGAGATCACAGGGCACAGAAAATACTGTATTCACTGTATTTGGGCTAAGGGGAAATGTATTATATTTTTTACATTTTTTTTATATTTAGTTTGTAAGAAAGTTTCAAGTATGTGGGAAAGAAAATAATAATTTGTTACATTTGTATATTGTCTTTCATCCGCAGATCTCATAGTGGTTCACAAAATAAAATACTTGTCTTGGGGCTAATTCACTCTTTCACTTGTCCTGTATTTCGATTAAACTATATACCGATGGATTCACCCAGGTCCAAGAACTTTTATTGTTTCATGGCTGTGCGTTGGGAAAATCCGATCTTACCCACTGAATCAGAAGCTTGGTGAGTAAAATCTCTCTTCAGCTTTTTCATGCATCTGGTAAGGTCCGATTCAGCGGGCAAAATCCGATTTTTGCAAGGGAAACTGCGGAATGGCGAGAAAAGCCCTCAGACCTGGGAGAATTAATAGGTACACAATACGATCAAAATACAGGTCAAATGAAAGTGTGAGTACAAATGCATGCGGTAACCGATGACATAAGGCTGTGATGGCACCCCGGAGGGTTGAATTGGGAGTGTAGCAGTAAGACAAATGGGCAGTGGAACTAGCAGCTGCGTTGTTTATCATGCAGAGTAAGCTTACATGGCTTCTATTCAGGCACTGAAACATAGCTGCTGGTCCTGGTGAAATGCGATAGAAATACTCCTACCCTTTTTCACCACAAGTACATATAAAATTCTGGTCAGACTGAAGGAGTCTGGTTGATGATTGGTCTCATGTGTGCCCAAGAAAATTGCCCCAGCTTCTTGTTTCTGTCAACCGACCCTCGGAGGGTATTCAGTTACGCTGAAATCTGTCACAGTCTTTATACGAAAGGGTTGAAATCTGTGAACTTTTCCAACGCGAATACAGGGTATTCCCTAACCCATCTGTGGGCTGATTGTATATCCCCTATGTGAGGTCCTGGGTATTCTGAACAAAGATTTCTCTGTAGCTATATACAACAAAATCTTGCATTTGGGAAAAATTTCTGCCTTTGGGGGATGCTAAAACCACCAACACATAATTTTAAAGTCTTGGCTTTTTAGCTGCAGTTCTTACCTCTACCAATATTCTTTACCCACAAAATTCTTTCTTCAATTTTAGCAGGCAGAATGTCGTAATGTTGCAAGAATTTAAATAATAGTCATTGATGCTGAAGAAATGCAGGACATGAACCTCTCTACATACAGATTTTCAGCTGATACTGCCCTCTTAGTGAAACGAGTGATGTTTGGAAGTTACTCAGTTCATGTACAGTATTTCTGCTCAGTATTTTCAAAAGAAGAAGATCATGGTAATATTTTGAAATGCCCCAATAATATTTATGAAGTGTTTTAATGCTTTTCCATCACATGAAAGCTAAATCTCATTATACAGTGTGAATCTTTGGTTCTGCAGTAAACTAAGACAAAAACATCACACACTGTAGTTTTAAAAATTTGTTATAAAACCTATAAGGAAATTAAAATTATACAGAATTTCTGTGCATCATACCTTTCCCTTTCATTTCTTAATAGTGAAATACTGATGAGTATATTAACACTTTTATGCTATGAAGTTTCTTTTTATTAGGAAATTGTGCAGGAAATTGCCATAGAATCTCTGTGCCAGGCTTATGGCGATCTGATTATCCATTTTGGAGCACTACAATCTTTTAAGCAGCTTTTCTTTTCTTCTGCTATGTCAGTGATTAACAAATCTAAGAATTAATGTTCCCGTACACAGCATGTGTTCTGTTTCTGACCTGTGGCTTCTTGTTTTTGTGTGTGACTTGTCCAACGTGATTAAATATGGCTTCTCCCCACCTTCCCCAAATGTGAGGCTGTTTATTGCATTATGCCCTGCCAAAGAAACTTTGCCCCATTTTACTATAACATGAAGTGGGTATAGCCTTCTGCCCCTGTAACTATTACATCCATCCATATCCGCATAGCTTCTGGTGTGGGGGCCACCATGTAATATATTCTGTCATGTGTCTTAACGCTGAAAGTAAGCAATGGATTAGGACTCTGGAAGGAAAGAAAAAAGAATACATAAAGTCAATAGCATAATACAACCTGTGTGCTGCAGAGTAAGTTTACATGCATTGGAAGTTCATATTTTAACTTAGTAAGCTGAAATATGAACGAGCCCTTGGCCGTCCACAGAGACCTGTCGTGCAAGCTAGGATACAGACCAGTAGGTTTTCCATTAGTCCAGGGAGTACAACTGCCATCATCCCTAACCACTGGCCATGCTGATGGAAGCCGGAATCCAAAAATATGGATACCCATAGCTTAGCCACTCATTTAATAGCCGCATTTACCTAGTTTGGTCAAATGGGAAGCTATAAGTTATAGAAGACATCTTGGTTGCTGTGCCCGCATGTGCAAAGGGGCTGAAAAGATGTGTTTATATATCAATTTACTAAGTTGGGGAGTGTTACCGATTCTGATTCTCTGCCTTCCACAGATGACAGTAGGACAGGAGGGCAGGATTTCTGAATCTTAACTGTTGTAGGCAAGGGAATTTCCACAGGCACAGCTTTCCTCCCACCTGACAGACTTCACCTGCCAAAATTTTCTCTTCTGCCCAACTATGAAAGTTCTGTGAATTCTGTTCTTTGCAACTGTGCAATGGGAACTAGACATATCTTCAAGTTTTCCGTGCCACGGCCTGCAAGTTTTCACTGCTCCTCCTTAAAAGCCACTTTAAAACTGTAAAAACACTGTGAATTTTTGAAGGAGCACTGAAACAGTATACTGACAGTATACTTACTGAAATGACAACTCTGCTTGCCTTGATTTATCACAGACATGATAATGAGTAGTAGTGGGATTTCTAGCATCAAAATCACGTGTCTCACTTTTTCTGTCTGTTGTATTACTGTACATACTTGAAAAATTTAAAGTGGTGTTTTACATCAAAAAATCTTGGCAGCAAATAAGTGTTTTACTAAAACTAGGTTCTAACCCACTTTAGGCACTATGATACTTTCAAAGAGTAAATAAGTATATTTTTATAGGAAAACATTTTTTTTTACCTTATTAGCATTCTTTAGGTGATCATAATAGACTTCTTCAATGGCTTGAAAATAAATTACTCCTTTTAACTTGGTTTCATGTTTGTCTACAATAAGGAAAAGAAAAGTTGAAACTAACAACCCACCAAAGGGATTGAAGGATCAATCTATACAAAATGTTTTGCCAACAACAAGAGAAGTTTAAAAAAAGTTTATTTATTAACTATTCCAGGAAAACCTCTACTTCTTTCTTCACTTAGATTACCTTTATTATAGCACACTAATTCAGTGTATATATGTACATGAAAGGGAAATATAGGTACAGTACTTCTTATCTGAGTGCTTTGTAAAGGAGAACAAAGCATATGCAGGCATTTATCTGCACACAAAACTGTATCCATGGAGCCAGGCACAGACAGGGCCAGCACAGGGTCAGCTGCATCCTGAGAAAGCCATACAACCAGCAGGTGACAGCAAGGGGCATAATCTGCCTCTGCTGTGCCAACCTGGTAGCTGGTGCAGTGATGGAGCATTTCTTCTTGCTCTCTCATCTTCTGCCCTGGTTGGCATAAGCAGTGGGGCTGTGGCTGTGGTGCTAGCTGTGCCACTCCATAAAGCCCAGCCACAGGTTAGGATTATGCATACATTCCTTCCTCGTATGCAGGTGTCCAGCGACTCACATCCAGTGGAGCCGTGGGCACGCTATTAGCATCAGCAGAGTATCAGCAAGAAGCGATTGTAGGTATTTGGCATCGTGAAAGCTTCTTTATTTACAGCAGATCAAAACAACAAACATGGCTGAGTGTCAGCAGCAGCTTCACACACGTCTTCTCTGTCCGAAACCAGAGAAGAAAGAGAGTATGAAAGCACATAGAATGGAAGTACAGTGTCTGAGTTCCATTCCCACACTCCTATTACTATGGAATGTAAACAGTGGATCACATGATCCAACAGCAAAGACAGAATGAAATTACTAACAAGGATTGTAGTCTATAGGTGGTGGAGACAGCAACCCAAATCATTACAGTCTTACCTCGGAAGTTGAACGCCTTGCAACTCAAATGTTTTGGCTGCCGAACGCCACAAACCCAGAAGTGAGTGATCTGGTTTGCGAACGTTCTTTGGAACCCAAACATCCATTGCGGGTTCTGCAGGTTCCAGTTGGCTGCAGGAGCTTCCTGCAACCAATCCTTGGCTTCCGAACATTTTGGAAGTCGCAACAAACTTCTGGAACGGATTCTGTTTGACTTCTGAGGTACAACTGTATTACCAAGAGGTAAGTCCCACTGGACTTGGTGAAAGTTCCAAACAGATAGGATGACTCGGTTTGCAAAAAGAGATTTACCTGCATGTCTTTATCTGAGTCATGTGACTAGAAGCATCAGAGCATTAGGAAGCTCCGTGAGTTATTACAAGATAAAATGTAAACGGGTAAGATTAGGCAAGCAACAAGTAACTTAAATTACAAGTAGCAGCATAGATGCAACTTAATAGACAAACCATAGGTAGGCTCCATACAACTTACCTGCATAATAAGAAAATGTTCTCTTATTCCTATCAAACACAAACCATCGCTTCTTCCAGGTTTTAATTTTCCCTCCCATCTTAATAAGAAAACCTCGGCAGGTCTTCTCTGTGAGTGAGACATGGTAACAGGTCTCTATATTGTGTCCTGCTGTCTCTATGTGGCTGCGTAGATCAAAATCTTCCTTTCTGACAGGTAAATAACGAGTCAAAGGGCGGGACTAATGGGAACAGCAAAAATTAAAAATCAATATTTTTCCTTTCTCCGCTTATATATAAAATATATTCATGTGCATTCAACACCTGAAATAAAGTACTCAATCTGAAACTTACGCTTTTTATTGCACGCTTACACACAGAGTGCTTAGTCACAACCTTAGAAACCAAATGTCGACAGCCCTCATGATATATAATCTCAGTCTAAATTATTTGACAAAGGCATCAATTTCACACATTACATTTTGAAGGTGTACATACCCCTCACATATATTAAGTGCACATGTAAATATGTGAAGCTGAAATAGATAAATGTGTGTTTTCTCAACCTTTAGGTGGAAGTGTAAAAGAGTTATAAACCCCACCACTGAGTGCCATGGTACTGAAGAGAACTGGAAGGGAGGAGAGAGTGGCTGCTTTTTACAAAAGAGTAAGGAAACATCTGACCACAGATCTCTGTTGCTTTGTCTAGTTTGGTATTCAGTATTTACCCTGGGAGATAAAGGAATGACAGGTAGCACAGTGACCTCTGCTGGCTATATATTACCAGCAGCCTAGTTTTAAGTTGACTGCATCTGTCTCATTCTAGAAGCCTTTAAAGGCTTAATATCATTTCAAAGTCTGTGTGCTTACACCCTCTTTCCTGCTCTTGAGGTGGCTGATCCAGGGGAGAGGGAAAGACACGACCAGAATGGGTGGCCTTCACAGCAGTCACTCAAAACCCAATTGCTTTCACAGGCCTAAAAAAAGTTGGCACAGCCCCTGCTTTATACCTTGGGACGCAAGGCCTGTCACAAGTGAGAATCCATAGCATCTTGCTTGCAATAGGGCTTCCCTCCCATCTCTTAATATTTGTCTTCCCATTCAATGCCTGCATTTTCTTACCTGTGACCTTTGCTTTTCACGTATCTTAACTTCTTTTTCAATTAGTTTTTGTCGCTGGCTAGTTTCTTCTTGCAGTCTTTTTTCTAGCTGCTCCCTGCGACGCTTTTCTTCTTCCAGTGCTCTTTTTTTAGCTTCCATTTCTCGTTCCTAAAAGCCACCCCACCAACATTGTATTAGAAATGTGTTGGTTTAAAAAAACAACATAAAAAACCCAACCCTATTAAATACACATCAAGCTCAAACACATTCCCTACCAATTCATTCATCGGTGGTCCAGTTCTACAGTATTGTACTGCCTGATGGCAAATCGTAACTAAACTCTTGTTCTAATGACACAAACATGGCCTTTTCACATATATATTATTACTACCCACCCACTTGTGTCTGAGTCTAAGATATGCGCATAAAAATGAGACTATGAAATAATGCCGGAACCGAACATAAATATAAATGATGAGGCCTTGGCACAAAATGAAAAGTAAATATTTTTTGCCTCAGTGTCAAGGTTTTTACTTTTTAATTATTTTAGTTAACACCTGTGTATAGAAGTTTGCAAATGACAACATGTGGAGGTACGTATGAACATATGTACTTCAGGAGATTTCATATAAAGATTCAATGTTTAGATGTGATGAGGTAACACATCTAAATGTTGAACCTGTATTTCTTTGAATTTCCTTGAAGTAGGACCAGTAGGGTCCAATAATCTCTTTTTTGTCTAACCCCTTATTTTTAAATCCTACTTCCAGTTCCTCTTAGAGCAAGCAAGGGTGCAATTGAGGCAGAGGCAGCTCAATACATTTTGATATCCCCTGGTTGCAATGTCCTATTTCATGCTGCAAGGACCTCTTGGGGTGCATATCTTAGACAATGTCCTGCTTTATTACTGGCCCTAATACCTGTTTTGTTTGTTCCTCTAGGCCAGGCTTCCTCAACCTCGGCCCTCCAGATGATTTGAGACTACAATTCCCATCATCCCTGACCACTGGTCCTGCTAGCTAGGGATCATGGGAGTTGGAGGCAAAAAACATCTGGAGGGCTGAGGTTGAGGAAGTCTGCTCTAGGATAACCCTGAATTTAGAGCACAGAATCTCTGTACTATACTGCTATTTCTTAGGCAGAACCACCAAATATTTTTATATTTGTGGCGAGTGGATAAAATTGTAATTTTAAAAGGGACTGAAGCAGGAGCAAAGATATAGCTCAAAACGAATTCTGTAAAAACGGAACCCTTTCAAACCCCTGCTGGGGATACAAAGTCAATTTGTACTATAACAATGTTTGCTAATATTAGATTACCCTGGATTCAAGTAATCGAGTCTTTTCAGCATGAGCTTGTTTCAAAAGTCTTTCCATTTCTTCTATTCTTGCAACATTTGAAGTACTGGCACTAGTAAAGGAGAGAGAAAACAGAGTCTGACTTTCAGAAAACAGTTCCGTATTAGAGATACGAAAAGATTCCAGTCGTTTTGTTGATATGATAAGTTTGGATACAAGATCTGGGTATGCTCTGGTTACCTTAACATGTGCAGAGAACTAGACACAACCTCAGTGCAAACAATATATGTAAGACTGTAAAATTACCTGTAGCAAAACTACAGGGAGAAGTGCAACTTCTGCTCTGTCAATGAAACTATCTATGCATGTACATGCCAGAAAAATAGTGTTCTGTATGACCCTCTTCAATCCACTAAATGTGGACTAAGGGTGCCTTTAGAAATAATGTTAGGATGCTGGCTGGATAAGCCCTTAAACTGCATATTTTTAAAAAACAATATTTTTAAAGTGTCAAATTTACTGGAAAAAAATATTTACCTGGAGATATTATCTGGGGAGCAGGCAGAAATGCTGGTCTCCATACTGTCAGAACTGTCTAAGCTTAGAGTATCAAAGGCATGGTCCTTGAAATTATGATCAGGATAATGGAAGGCGTTCAGATACACATTTGATTCAGAAGCAGTTCTGCTGTAGAACTGGGGAGATTTCTGGATTTGATCTTCACAAATATGTTGGTTGTTATAACCTAGAATGAGAAGCAGAAAATATGAGTTCGGTTTCCTACCTTTTATATTTTTAAAAAAACTTTTTAAAAAGAGAAGCATTTTGAACACTGCTATTATGACCAGACTCGAAGCACTGCAAATGTTTATTACTACCATCTTTCTTAGTAAAACAGCAGCTAATTGGATTATGTATCTGACATATTTCTGATCAGTATTCTAGTATATGTCTTTTGTCAGTCTTTGTCTCTTTTTGTAAAATGAGATTTCAGATTACAGGGTTGGCCACCTGGACAACATCTAATGATATCTGCAACACTGTTTGCTAGATAAACGTGTGCAAGTAGATGAATACTGTGTGTAAGTTACTGGCTGAAAAACGATTTATTGGTTGGCTTCATATGTATATCTTATTGGTCCTTATTGTGATGGGATCTGATAATTTTAGCTTTTGTATTGCTGAGTTCCTCTTTTTGTATTTTTTTTATTGTTGTAAGCAGCCTTGGATAGGGCTGGAAAGGTGACCTAGAAATATTTTATAAGAAATAAATAAATCACATTGGAATAGTTTGTATCTCACATAATTTGATATAAAGCCAATAACAGTATGGCATGTAACTTAAAGGCAAGCATTAATGCGCAAGAAGCTTTCATTGTTAGAACACTGGAGAAAATTATGAGGATATAATTTGCAACAAATAAAAATTACCTTTAATACTTGCACTTTTGGAATGATTAATTGCTCCTTATTTTTTTTGTAAAAGAGAGAGAGAGAGAGAGAAGGAAAGAAGAAAAGAGAAATTACTATAATTTTGCCATTTGGGGCATTTGAGTTAAAAAAATCCAGATGAGAGCACTTAAAAGTACTCAAGCCCTAACTGCTTTTATTCATAACATGCAGCACCGCAGTAAGTGTTGGGTCAGGGGTGGGCATTTTGGGGATGAGGGGGGAATTATTTTGGAGGTTTGTTCCACCTCCAACAGCATTTAGCTGTTTAGGAGTGCTGCAGACACTTAAGCACCAAGGATACTCTACTAAATCTGAAGTTATTAATCCAGAGGAAAACTACAGCATTCAGTTTAGTTTAGCTTTAATCCAGGAAGACATGCAAGACTACATCTGATAGAAAAGCAAACTGGGTTAAAGGTTTTTAGAGGTAAACAGGGGGGAAAATTACTAGAAGTCTACAGAAAAGAAACAAAAATAAATTTTAAAAAGCAATGCCAGTTATTTAAATGAAATTATAATAACTTTTTTGAATGCAATCTATGTTGCAATCACAATTATTCATTTCAAAGGTTTTGTTTTTTAATAAGGAACACAGTCAAGTAAACATAAATCCTTCAAAATACCCCCTTTTTATTATTTTGGATCAGTGTTCTACAGACCAGTCTACTTCTCCTATGTGCTACACACACAAATAATTTGTCACATCTTTCTGAAGTTGCCAACCCAGAAAACATGGAGATGTCCAACCTTATTGTCAATGTTTTGTTCCATTGCTGCTTCTTTATTATGCTGGATAATCTTTTTGCATCCTTCAGCACAGAAGGGCAGAAAAGACTCATGTGTTACAGTAAAGCAGGATGCTACACAATTTTGTGGATTAGCACGTTTTCTAAAACTGGTTGGTGTGGCTGTACTGCCAAGTGTCTGAACAGATATCTAGAATCTGTGTATTCTTTTATTTATTTTCATGCGAATCCTCTGTTGCTGACATATGAACCAGATTGACTCTGAAGAAACATCAAGTTTATAGTCAGCAGCAGAGGAATTGCATGAAAATAAATATTTGAGACTAGACAATACAGAAAGAATCGGGTGGTTAACCTAATTGTGTTTTCATTTCAAGTTTCATTTGCAAATCCAAGCTGGCAGCAGCAGCAGCAGTGAGCAAAGTTTACTTTCAAACATTCATTCTTTAAAGCCCTCTTCAGGTGTTTCACAACATGAGATTGTATCTTATAATAGGGATCGTGGAGCCATGCTGTCTCCATTGTCTCATCCCCTGCTATTCACATGTTAGGGGATTGACTGCAATGCGGAAACTTGCTGAAAATGCAGTTAAGCTCTCTCTGTGATGTGGATCCCTGATTCCACAGGGTTCTAGATCATGCAAGCCTTCACACATGCAGCAGACTTCTCCATTGCAGACATTTCCCCATCACATAGATAGGCAGACAAAATGGTAGAAGCCAGGCTGCTTGCACATGAATGTAGCCTGAAGGAAACTACAAAAATCACCGCACCCACCAGAAAAAAATTAAAGGAACTTTAGAATTTCCACATTTGCTGGTTCTGAATGACTTGATGGTGTCCCTTTTTTCAGTGACAACCACAAAAGCAAACACATACAGCCACACAAAGAACATTCCTCATACCTTTTCTGCCTTTTCCTGATTTAAATAAGACATAAAAAAATAAAAAAGGGTTATGCTATATAGACATTTAAAAGCAGGATAAAATAATTAGATAGGCTAAAAAGAGCTACAAGCACAGAATGCAGACATGGCAAAGATAAGCTGGCTAATTTATGTCTTGGGGCACAATTTTATTTAGTACAGTTTATTCTGGGCAACAGTCCTATTTGAACTTAATTTCAAATAAATGGACATATGCTTCAGTTGTAAGTCCCTAAGAAATAATTTAAAAGTTACCTAGCTCTTGGGAGACCACATCACAATCTAAAAGTCTGAATTACTTTTAATAATTTTAAGCTTCATCAGTTTTTCGGTCGCAATCCTACATGCATTTACCAGGAATAAATTCCCTGTTTAGGATTACACTTCTTGATTACTACTGCAGATGTGAAAAGCCCAACTCGCCTTGCCTTAGTCCACAGACAAAAAGGCAGCTGCAGAAATAAAGGCTTCTAAGGTTACAAGGTCCCATTTGCCTTTATGTAGTTCTCTTTAGGTCCCTTTAATGTGCATTAGCATAGCTGCAATGCTGCAATCATCTGAACGGTTGCAGAAGATTCACAACTAAGATAGGCCATTCCATTAATGGTTTAGTTCAGGGATGGGGAAACAGTGGCTCCAGTTGCTATTGGAATACAGCTGCCATCGCCCCTGACCATTGGTTGTGCCAGCTGAGGCTGATGGGAGTTGGAGTCCAACAGCATCTGGGTTAGTCCAAATATTAACCAGTCACCAACTTATAAAACTTTGCTTAGCCAATAGTTTCTGTAGTAAGTAATTAATGTCAAATGAAGACTCATTAAGACTCAACACAAGTACTGCAGTAGTTATCTTAAGCATTAAGAGAGAAGAAGTTACTACAGTCGTACCTTGGTTTTCAAACAGCTTTGTTCTCAAATGTTTTGGCTCCCAAATGCCGCAATCAGAAGCTGTGCTTTGGTTTCTGAACGTTGTGGAAGTCGAATGGACTTCCGGAACGGATTCCGTTCGACTTCCAAGGTACAACTGTATAGGGGGCCGCTAGGGGCGCCTTGGAATATGGCGGATATTAACATCTGTCCAGCTCGCACGAGGTAATTAGAGGCTGATTATGGGGAGTATATCAGTCTCCCTTCATCTCTCCAGGGGGGAGAGTTGCTGTTTTCACCCGCTGTTGCCATAAATCACCCCCGAGTTCGGAAGAAGGAGGGGGTGAGGCACTGGGTGTACAACCCTCGGCGGGCCTCGGAACTCCTCCGAAGCTGCTTCCAGGTGCGAAACTAGTTGCGTTACTTAAAAGGAAAAAAAATTGGGAAAGATAACGCACATGCTTCAAGAGAGGCAGGAGGTTTTTATCTGCTAACAATTTTACCACTGAAAGGAAGAAGACTGAGACGGACTGAGATGGAAGATTACATCAAAGCACTACAAATATGGTATGTGGATTGGAATGCCGGATCTAAGGGGGGGGGAAACGACTTTTTATTTCTTTTGCTCTATGTTATTACTAATAACCCTCCCTCTGAAGATCTGTCACAGAAATTAATTGCAAATGGGACTAAAAATGAATTGTGTGGGAATAATTATGAACTTAAAGGTTTTACTCTGTGAAGGATTTGGAAAGAAGAAGGGCTCTCTCCTGTGACGCAGTAAGAATGGAGACTTGATAAGAGACCTGTGTTGCTGGAGTTGGTCTTGGGGAGGGCGAAAATATTATTTTCGAGGAGATTGCGAACTGGAAGGGGCAGCCCTCCTGGAAAAAGACTAATTTACGATGCAACAGGTCGGAAAAGCTAAAGAGCGAGTTTCTAGACTGTCTTTCATCGGAACGACAAAAATGGCGATTACTCGCTCGAGCGGAAAGGACTGTTGGAGGAGAGTGATTTACGAGAGAGCAGCACAAAGCCCACACAGAAATACAAATAAGACTGTCTTTTTCAACCCACTTGCAGAGCATATCGGAGGAAAATGGAAAGGAAAATGAGTAATGACAAGTATTGAGAAGAGGAGACTGGAAACATCATTCTTAATATGGAAGCAGAACAAATATTTGAGGATTGGACTCCTGCCAATCAAGAAGCATGGGTACCCCCCACAAAAAATTATAATTTGGAAAACAATTGGATTATATGATATGTATTGTTATAATTTGGACTAATTGATTTGATATGTTTAATTTGGAAATATGAAATTTAATAAAAATTATTTAAAAACAACAACTGTATAGGCATTTTGGGGCATCTAATGGACCAGTCGTAATGAAGGAAAGGGTATTTAAGGTCCAAGCTGTCACTTTAAATTGCATTATATTATGCAATATAAATGCATTATATAATGTGCACATTGCAATGCACAGGGACTGGATATGCACAAATCTTCCCACACAATAGACTGAACAAACACATCTTAGGTAAGAGCATCAGACTCTGGAAGGCTGGTACGCTCAAGGACCAGTCAGAATAACATTCAGGATCAAGAACCATGAAGTTTCACGGGATTATCCGTTTTCTAAACAGGGCACCCGGCTTTTAATCAGTCTAAAGCTATAATTCTATGCACAGCGCAATCCTAAGCATATTCAAGTCCTACTGTATTCAAGGGGGCTTCCTTCTGAGCAGACACAAATAAGGTTGCACTGGGAAAGATATTGCCCACTTGTTGAGAATATTATGCACACATTATGCAAGAGCAGAGTGGTTTGTGTATAAAATAATTCGAACAGAATCATGCCATTTCCCATTTTGGTGTGCAATCAATAATTATATTAAGAAAACTTAATTAATCTAAGACTCAAAAAAGCATTGCAGCTGAATGAATGCATTTTCCACTTATCAAATTAAAAAGAAAAACTGATTAGTGTGAAATGGGATTTCCTTTTCAATGGCATTGTGTTGCAGTGTATGAAGATAATTTTTAAACAGCCTTACCTTTATGCATCCTCCTTGGTTCAGACTCTTTGGTCATAGTTCCCAAACAATGAGGGAGTACGCTGCCACAGCTGTTGCTTTGTCCAAGTGGAGGATGACCCTGCATAAAACAATAGTGATTAGCATTCACAAATATCAGCCATCCATGCTGTCCAATGGTGGCTTTGCCTTAGCTGAAAACTGTTTCTGCTCATTTCGGTCAGCACACCCAGTCACACTGCAGTACAGTCAAAAGAATCCGGGATGCTCAATTTAAGACAAAGAGATTAAGGTAAGAAATAACAAAGGAGTAAAACAGGAATAAAGTAAAAGGAATCACAGACTACACAACAGGATGCAAAAATTAAAGCAAATTGAGAAATTACATTCCTGCTTGTCTTTGATGAACTAAATACTTCTGCAACCTAGATATTATAATCTATAATCACCTTAACACTCCTTCCAAGAGTAGAACTGCTGAAATGGGGAGACACGGAGGGAGCTGGTTTCTTGCGTGGCAAAGTATCACTCATGTATGGGCCTTCTTTATGCTGCTTCTTCCTCTCTTCCAGATTTCGGAAGTGCTTAAAAATATGAAATTGCAGTGTGATCATATGGGAGCCTGCAGGCTGTAAATGTTGGCATTAAACAAGGTGCAGTTCACAAACAAACCTAAATGCTGTTTGAAAACACAGCCCAAAACAGGACAAGGAAAAGCCAGTAGGGGAGAGTTTCTCTGTTTAAAAATTATTAAGTGCATAGGAATTACAGCACACACACAAACCAAAAAGAGAAATGTTATACAGTTTCACAGATTTAAACTTACTGTGCCTTAAAAAAAATTCCAAAGGTGATTTAATATAATACAAATTACAAGGAAGATTCCCTGGACAAGTTTCAATGAAACTTAAGGAGATTTTGAATCATTCAGGCATCCAAGAGAACATGCGAGGGCAGAAACTAAGGAGCAGGAAGGGGTCATGTGGACTACTCCTGCCCTAACATCAACCTTCATGCATTGAGAAGAAAACTCTGTAGGGGGATTCTAAGTGTGTTTGGCTGAGTGCTTAGACTCTTCCCTGTGACTGGGAGCCCTGCACAATCAAGGCTCCCAGCTGTGTATAGGATTCTAAGTATGTTCAGATGAAGGCACTTAGAATAGTCCGTCAGATATTCCTGCTCATGATGGAACAGTAGAGAGTGTTGCAGACAGAACAAGCATGTACAGCCTCATTCTCATGGCCACCCCAAGTTGGCCACTGTGGGAACAGGATGCTGGACTAGATGGGCCATTGACCTGATCCTGCAGCCTCATTTTATGTTCTTATGCAAAGTTTGTGCCCTCTTGTGTTCTGAATAGGACACTGGATACAAATCTTACTGATCGTGAATCTGCTGTCCCATTTTAGGATAGTTAAAAATCACCAAAAGTTACTGTGACATTTTCACTAAGGTAAAAAAATTAAGCAGATTCCTAAACATTAGGAAGAACTTCCTGACAGTAAGAGCTGTTCGACAGTGGAATTTGCTGCCAAGGAGTGTGGTGGAGTCTCCTTCTTTTGAGGTCTTTAAGCAGAGGCTTGACAACCATATGTCAGGAGTGCTCTGATGGTGTTTCCTGCTTGGCAGGGGGTTGGACTCGATGGCCCTTGTGGTCTCTTCCAACTCTATGATTCTATGACAAGCACATTGGACATGAAACAATGCTACACAAATGATACATAATCCCAACTATTGTTTGAACAAAAGAACAATGTTATTTGGTCTAATTGTGGAATTGTGATTTGATTCATAGTAGGTTTTTTTTTAAAAAAAAAAAAAACACAACAGCACAGATTTATACAGGCCAACAGGCTTCCTTAAAACAAATCTGATTTAATCCCACAAATGGAGGTCTGCCTGCAGCCTTATACACCTTTAGGTGCCAGGCGAAAACACTCCTCTTCAACCAGGCCTTTGGCTGACTGAGATCCTATATCCTTTTAAATGTGTTTGTGGGAAAGTGAGGGGGGATGTAGTGATTGTTTTGTTGTTGTTACTGTTTTTATTATGTATTTTATGTTTCTATATTGTATTTTTATGTTGTGTACTGCCCAGAGATCTATGGATCAAGGGCGGTATACAAATTTCATAAATAAGAAAACTTGGGTGTTACAGGTTTCTATCTCCTATTTTATGTGTTTCATCCGAACAATGCTCCACTCATGAAGGAAGGTTCCACTTGTAGAAAGGCTCTCTGTGTCCACAGATTTCTTCCATGATCAGAGTGCTAGGTTTGGATCCAACTAATTGTCCTGCAGTTTCAGCTTAGTATGATCTCAAACTGGCTACTACTACCTTTTAGAAGCTTAAGCCATACACAGTACTGAAAGAAAATAAGCAACTCCTGTTCTATTAAAATAAATGTTTTAAACTTGATCTATCACCGGCATTCCTACTGTTGTAAACTATTGATTGCAAATGCCTCTCTCAGTTGAGATTTCTGAAGCAACAGCTGTAGTATTTCTACATGCCATAAATACAAGACCAAGTTGTTGAATAAAACATTTCACTGTAATATATTTTACTGTGTGGTAACAGAAAATATCAGGTGGCAAACATCAGGAAGATGCGGATAACTTTTAAAAACCTTATACACATAATTCAAATAACTACTGATGTCCACAGAAGCAACAACAGATTGTAAGTGGGTCTCTCCCCCCTTATGCACTGAACTCTGCTAGTTTGACCTAGAAACTGTGAGATGAACACTGTGATACAGCTCAGGGCACTATGCATGTGTAAAAAAAGGCTGCTGGGGGCGCTGTGCATGCAAAGTCCTTTAGAAAATGTTAGAATTCCACCCATCAACTGTAATGGAAAGGGAATGTGGTACTGAATTCAGCCTCCCACACACACCCTCCTCACTCCCTTCCAACACCTGATTGGTTGGCAGGATTTTATGGCTGCCTGTTTTGCATGCACTCCCTCAGACTGAAGCAGAAAACTCCGTGCAAAAATAATTACATGGTTATCAAGGCAGTCAGCCTTCAGGCAGGTTACCTGTGACTGCCTTCGGTGTTTCTTAGCTGGAAGAGGTGGTGGTGTGTCGGGCAAAGGAAAAGGCTCTACATTTGCAGCCCTGACCTCAGACCATTGGGCTGGTGAAAGTTGTGCAAGAGGGCGAGGAGAAAGGGAGTGAGGAAACACAAATCCAGAACAGAGAGGCGATCTTAGCTTTATAGGAAAGAGAGAAATTACGTTCAGAGGCTTATAAACAGGATGACACACAAGCTGACAGCAATACACACACAGAGAGAAGCATTTTATGATAGTACAAAGCAGCCTGTTCCAACCCTGTGTCCCCAGATGTTGTTGGACTACAACTCTCAACATCCTTGACCACTAGCCATGCTGCCTGGGTATGATGTTGGATGTACAACATCTGGACTTGCTTCGTCAGCCTACGTGATGAGAAGCATGAGGTGCAACCCACAGGTGATAACAGGCAGGTGCAGAGAAAGCAGGCAAGTGGCATTTTCTGTCGAAGGAGTTTACTTAAGGGCATTCTACTGGGTGAAAGCAAATCTGGGGCTATCCAAACCAAAGCAATAAAATGTATGAATGCTGATGGTGAAATGAAAAACACATGTTTTTACAGATTTAACTGCTTTTGTGGCTAAAGTGTTTAGATTAAAATTAGATATACCAGGCTCAATTCCTGCAGCTAATGTACATTATGTATGTATTATTTATGGCAGCAGTTAAATATTTCTGGATATGGAATTACTTCTTTTCATAGCTAAAAAGGTGCTTCTCCCCCACCCCTCACACAGTCACAGGAAACAGCTGGGAAAGCAACCAGGGAACAGTGTGAAGAAAATACCATCTAAGGATATACTTAAATTTGTATAAATTAACGGGACATAAAGAGCGTAAAACATTCTACACTCACAATGTTAAATTCCACCAAGTGATGTTTGAGTGAACTCCACAATTTAGTAAAACCAAATTTATGTGGTTTAAACCTCATTCCACAGAAGTCTTGGTCTGTTGTCCGAATGCCATATGATTTTCAGCTTTCTAAAAGGCTGACTCTACAATGTCAATGTACCTTTTCAGGGTTTGATGTATCAATTACTCAGTTTGGGCAGTGCTGCAGAAAAGGGGTGGGGTTCGTTGCAAAACGTTGGCACAGGTTTGGAGGAGGAGAAACCAAATTTTGGGGATCCATAATTAATATACCTCCTTTTCTAAAGCTTGTCCCTTATTTCAGCCTGGTATACCTCTGAAACATCCTTTCCCCTTACTGAAGAGAAAGTAATTAGTTAACTGGGCCTTATCTGAATGTGAATCTGAATCTTCCTGACATTGCTGTTATTCCTGGAAACAAAGGTTTGTGTGTGTGGTTTCACGGTGTTGTGTGCTTCATGGAAGGCCACCTGCAAATGAACACTGTACAGTTGTACCTTGGTTTTCGAACAGCTTAGTTCTCGAACGTTTTAGCTCCTGAACGCCACAAACCCAGAAGTGACTGTTCTGGTTTGCGAACTATTTTTGGAAGCCGAACGTCCGATGGGGCTTCTGTGGCTTCTGATTGGCTGCAGGTGCTTCCTGCAGCCGATATGAAGCCACACTTTGGTTTCCAAATGCTTTTGAAGTCAAACGGACTTCCAGAACGGATTCCGTTCAGCTTCCAAGGTACGACTGTATAGAGCTCCTGGTTCAGTTGCAGTATTCTTCCCAAGGTGTGGAGATGTTTAGATGGCCCCAAGTCTTAATCCTGAGTTTTCTCCCTGAAACAGACTCTAGGTTAGCTCTCTTTTAAATTGGATATATGCAGTTTTACCATGACCTGCAAAAAACCAAGGGAACAGAACGTTGCAAGCAAAATGCATACAAACGGGAAATGTCTCTCAGAACAAACCTCTTTATTTTGTGTCTGGCTCATCAGGCCAGCTGTGGAAGGAACAGCCTCAGCAGCCGTGGGGGCTTGAGTGGAAGGGGATATATTCGTGGAATTGCCATACGGCTCACTAATGTCATTTACACTCACATAACCCTAAAGGGAGGAATTCAGAAGTTAAACATAAGAAGAAGCACAAGCTAAACGGCATGCAAGAGTATTAAGGTTCCCAGTGTGCTGTGAAAGTTAGTTTAGAGTGATCCAGCCAATTTCTGTGGTATTACAAAAACGTTTCATTAAAATATTTTTAAAAAATCATCGAAATTACAAGCACTGAAAATATGAATGCTTTAATTTACTGTAAACAAAATTGTTATTATATCTGAAGTGCTTTTCATAATGAGGTAGAACCATCATAACTTAATACGTTTGGTTCAATACGGTTAAATGTAAAAATACTGCTAGATTTCAAAGGTAGCTCCCACTATTGCCCCTCATGTGGCTATTTCATGTACCACAGATTACAATGTGGTAGCTTTGGGAGGGCAGTTCTTCAACAGAAAATGTTTTTGAAAAATTGGCTCCCAGCACAGTTTACAAACTATCGGTGTGCTGGAGGATGGGGGGGGGGGTGGGGAGAGAGAGAAAAAGAAAAATTCCAAAGGAATGGTAAAAATCATTTAAGAGCATGAATCTCTGGCAAAGGGAGGCTGCCTTTATTCCAGTGCATTTCAGTAAGTTACTATACTGCAATTAGATGCAGGTTTTTGTTGGTCCTAAGCAACACCCTCCCTGCAAATTTCACTTTTTTGGTTAATATCAAAATACATTACTGACAATTTAATAATTTAGGGACACATTCGTCAGCTAGGGTTTTGTTAAGGTCATCAGAGTAGCTGCAATTCTCTGTTAAAAGTATAAACAAGTCTAGGATTTCATTAGCAGCAGCAGTAGCAAAAGCAGCAGAAGGGTTTTAGGCAAAAGCAAGCTGCAGCAGGATATATTGGAAGAGAATGTGCTTTCTAAAAATCCTAACTGAATTTAGTCCCTGAAAAGTACTCTTGCAAGAACACTGCCAGAGTTGTTCATATAGTCTAGAAATGAATGATTGATTTGGGGCGAAATACTCTGGAACAGATGGAAATATCTGGACATTTTAACTCTGGTTTTGATGAACTCTATTTTGGAAGGTATTAGAATGGCTTCAGAAAAACACTTATTATATCTGTAGGACTTAGTTTTCATTATTTTAATTTTGTATGAAGGGTGAGACCACCGTGTTTGCATGTGCACACTGGAAGGAGTCATTTTGGTAATTATCTTCAACACAGGAATACCACGTCACCATAAAGTAGACACAAGGACATGTGCTTGTATGGAAGCTGGGGAAAGCACAATAGATGCATATTTACAGACATACACAAAAAAACCTCCAAACCCCAAACCCGACAAAAAGGGATACAATTATGTCAAATTTTATATAAATCCTGCATGGCTAAGCTATCTTTAAAAACATCTATGCAGACCATTTACACACAAAGGAGACTGGACCACATGTCATTTCACACTGAATATTATAAAATGTGCAGCTCTAAATCACCATCTAATATGGAGAACAGTAACTGCTTTCTCTCTCCTTCTCCCAAGTTTCACATTTTTACCTCTTTTAGACTGCTGGGACTTAGGGGGAAGCCTTTTCCTCCCGATAGTGAAGAGTATTTCTTTTCTAGATTACAAAGGTTCTCCTTCTCCTGTTAGCAGATATAAGTTATATTTCAGATACAAATGTTGACAGTCACTTGTATGACAGAAAACACACAGATGACCACAAACAGTCTCAGGCTTTGTTTGTACTCTTCAGAAATAACAAAACTAGACTAAAAAATTAATGAAGTGATGAATAAATGTTTCTGGGTGATACTCAAGTAGGTCATGGAGAGACCCAGTGAAATTAATGGACCCAATTTTGTCATCTTCATTAATTTTAATAGGATTACTCAGAATAGGATTAGCTTTGACTGCAACCCAATGTCTTAAATAATTGAAGCCATTCATTTCAATGGGTCTACTCTTGAGTATACTCACATTGGATATCAGCCTCTGTTTGGAATTGCATTGTATCTCTGTTCATTCCTTTCAACCCCCCATCATCAAATCATATCCCAGTACACAGTTATCTCGCCATGTATTTAGGGTAGCTTGACAAGCATCTTGGTTATTGGCATGTGTTGACCAGTATTTCCTATGGCAAGCACATAAAATATGGTTGGATAACATGCACATGTGGGTTGTGTTTATGCGCCTGGAATCCTGAGTGGGCCATGTCCAAGGGCTTGTGAAATCACCTGTACAAACAGGGATGACACCCACAACAGAATGGCATCAATTCCGTTTAGTAAACATTCTGCAGAATGACAGCACAGTTTAGAGCAATTGTCAAGAAAATTTTCCGATAATTGTAGCTGTACAGTAATTGCTAGATTCAGGTAGGTAGCCGTGTTGGTCTGACACAGTCGAAATAAAAAATTAAAAAAATAGTCCAGTAGCACCTTAGAGACAAACTAAGTTAGTTCTGAGTATAAGCTTTTGTGTGCATGCACACGTCTTCAAGATACACTGAAACAGAAGTCACCAGTCCCTTATATATAGTGGGAAGGTGGGGTGGGGTTTTTCTCAGAAGGATAGTTGGAGATGGGTGATTGACTCAATGGGTATGGTAAACATGTTGATGACTATTAACGACTGCAATTAGTCCTACAGGAAAAAGCAAGGGATAGTATGCAGATGACCAAAAATAGCTTTAGCATATGTAATGAGACAAGAATCCAATATTTCTATTCAGACCAGCTCTCTCCATAGTTTTCAGTTTAGTAATAAGTTGTAATTCAGCAACTTCTCTTTCAATAATGTTGTTGTCTTTGAATCAAGGAAAAGCGCTTACCCTCTGCAACATCATTAGAAGGTTATTCTTCTCTTTCACAAAATGATCTTGTTCTCTTTGCGCCTGCTGGACAATATGATTGGCTTGTTTTTTGAGGGCAGAAATTTTTTCCTATGGCAAAGATAGCACCAAAACATAGTCAATATGAGCTTGAGAGTATAATGTACGTATGCACTACTGATCAGGAAGACACTCCCAGGAAAGAAACTAAAGACACTTCTGCACCAGTAACTCTTGGCTGTAGTTCTTGTTGTTGTGTATATTTCATACAACGACCATTTTCACAAACATTTTCACAAATATAGAAATGTTAGCTTGCAGTGTAGATTACAACATTAGCTGGTGCAGATGTACTCAATCAAGAAACACAAATGAAAGCACTTGAGGATGGATGCCAGCTTTAATTGCAGAATCTAAATTAATCTGAGCTGAAAACTAGTGGAAACCTTTACTTTTTTCTGAACTGGAACAACCCAAAGCAAATCGGATCACCTTGTGGTAGGGTTGCCATATTTCAAAAAGTAAAGACTGCATGAATTTCCCAGTATTCAGGCCTTAAAGGAAGCAGTTTCACAAGAATGTAAGCCTCCGTAAATGTGTTTAGGATTGCTCTGTAAACATGAACTTGTTCAGCCACATTTTGTGAATCTTCACTGTCCTATGAATAGTATTTACATTTTTCAACATGAATTGGAACATAAATCCATTACTGAATTACTGAATTGGCCAGAGCAACATCTCACGAAATGGAACCAAGCCACAAAAAAGCAATGATATTACCTACTTTATTTTTAAAGCAATTTTACCTTTCTACTGACAATGTTGCGTTGATATTCAGCCACCTCACGCAGGAGCTGCTGTGTTAAGTTCTCCTTCTCCTCATCTAACCTGCTCTCATTTTCAAGCTGCTGAAACTCCAGATCTTCAAAGTGTTTGCTTTCTACCTCCAGCAGGTCAGCATCCTTTAACAACAAAAGTCAGTGTATATATATTTTTTAAAAGTTGTATATCATTAGCAAAAGTAGGCATGCGGCACCATCCCAAACAAAAATAAGGCTCAGGAAGTTCAAGTTATTGTGCAGAAGATCACACTCTAAGACCTTTAAAAAAGAAGACAAAAAACAGCTATTTATGACATTTACATTGTTTTTTGAACTGTTGCCTGGATGTTAAAAAGGATCATGTACACCCTCAAATTCGCGATATTGAATAGCAGATCAATCTGAGTGTCCCACCCATGTAATGATCTTTTGGTCACAGTTCAGCTCAACCAAAAGATGATCTAGCACTATGCAGATGTAAGGATAAAAAGTTAAGAAGCAAGAAAAGGGACACCCAACAGGCTTGACCTCGCTTCCCTCTTACCTCATTCTCCAGGGATGCTAGTTCTGTGCCTCTTGATGACCAAGTTTAAGATGGATGAAAAGCAGATGAATGGAAAGATAGTATGCAGCTCTCCCCCACCTACCCTTCCACCACTGTAACCTCCAAAAGCTACATTAGCATAAAAAGTGAAGTGAAATTTATACAGAATTCCACCTAATGTGGAATTTGTGTCTTAAGTATGAACTGGGAAATTCAGGAGATGCTGTTTAAAACTCTGGTCTCCCTTAGTTCAAGAAAGCAGGTTCTATAATAAAAAGGGGAACAGAATCTAAATGGAAGATTGGGAAAGAAATCTTGTTTCGGTCTATGAATGGTCATCACCCAAGTGTCTCATAATGGTGAGCTAAATCCTGGATAAATAGATGAGTGTTCTTTTGCGACAATATGGCAAGCAAAGCTGTTGAAGGACAGAATTCTCTGTCTATGGCAGGGATGGGGAGGCTGTAGCGGGACCACAATTCACATCTTCTGTGAGTATTGGTCATGCTGACTGGGGGTAGATGTTGGAGTCCAACAACATCTGAAGGACCACATGTCTTCACCTCTAATCTATGGTTTTAGCAGAACTCCATAAAGAAACACTTAATATGCCAAGCAGCATGCCTTGAATATGTAGCTAATTTCCATTTAGAATTGTTTTATTCAACATTGGGGTGAAAGTGTAATGTTTTACACTAAGAATGCGTCTGAACTGGAATTTCTTCTGGCATTGTATTCTAACTTATTCCTTCTCACTGTCCCAAGAACGCTTCCATGTCTCAGTATTGTGGGGGGTGAATTTCCCCAAAACAAAACAAAACAAAAGAAAGCCCACTGAATGTGGGTGGGTGAACTTGCATAGCTATAATTTTGAAACAGCATCTATGCCAACAGTGATTTTTCCCTCTTTTTCCCTTGAAATTTAATAAAGAATTTTAAAAATAAAACAGATTTCGTTCAACGGGTAAGAAACAACTTTGAAGGAGGAAACAATTTCATAGTGGTGGCAAAGGGAAACTTAAAAGCAACTGCAAACATAATGAGGGCTAAAATTAGATAGCTAAGTGCAGTTATTAGACTCAAGAATTTATCCAACATGCTTACAGCAAATTACCCTAAAGCTCAACTAAACATCACAAGTACACAAACACAGGCACACACAACTCTGATTTGCCAACAGCCAAAGGGTGCTAAACATTAACTGGTTGGCAACTTCTAAAGTATGTATCACAAACCAATTTTTAATCCAGCCCTTCACATTCTGTTTATTCATCGCCATGCAACAATCCTGTTAGCAGTGCAGAAAACCAGTAAACCCTTGAGATGAGAGGCAGTCAGCAAGTCGTCTTTCAACACTTGTGCTTCCACAAAAAAGAAAAGAGGAATCCATGCTACTGACCCTGTATAGCTGCTGTTGCAATTGTTCCCGCATGGACTCAGGGCAATTATCAAGCTGTGTCTTCTGCTCGGTATAAAGCTCCTGAAGCTTTTCTAGTTTTTCCCTCTGAGCATCAAGCTTTATTTTTTCCTGGAGTTTGAACCAGAAAAATAAAGAACAGAATTACCTTCAAACCCAAAGCAGTTGTTAGTGATTCTGATGGCACATGGAGCAGGGTTGGGTGGCAGGGATAGGATCGGTCCTAAAGGTTGTAGCAGGGATGCTTAAACATGCTGGAAGGCTGTGGCTAATTTTCATGTGCCACAGCATAATCTAGGTATCATATTAATAAACCTGGCAGATGCTAAAGAATGGTTAGTTGACATACATTAACATTTATTGATTATGTCTCAGGTGCACAAAGGTGGGTTCTCCATTGCGAAACGGAGACTCCGAAGATGGATTCAGAAGACTGGATAAGAGTCACTTCAAAGCTTCCTTAAAAGTGCAGAGGGATGGTAATGCTAGGCTAAAAACTGTATGGTTGAAGGATACAGATGCCACATGGCAAACTGTTAAGCAACGACCACTTTACTGGTGGCAATTTCCATCCACCATCAAACCTTGGAAACTGAAATAAAAGATAAAGGTTTGCTTGGTCCGAATTATTTCATACTTCTCTCTACCATCCATAAAGTTCAGCTCCATTAAGGCTGGAATTTTGCCTCCATTAAATTTGGACCTTGGAAAGATCAGGTGCTACACATATATAATTTGCGGGTATACTCATCCCCACTGCACAGTAAATTCCATTAATTAAATTTAGATTTTTCAGAACATGTTACTGGATCTAGGACATTGATTAGTAGAAACTAATCAACTTAAGAGGTGGGTTTGTAATTTGACTGCAATAGTCAGTGTCACAATGGTTTTTTTATATATATACAAGAAATGGCATCTTTTAGTACTTTCAAGATCAGTGGGACACTAGCTATTTAGAAATGGAATCAGTAGTATGTTAGTCTCCAAACGAGAGAAGGACAGAAAAGGGTGAGATTTTACAAAGCAAACTAAATAGAATACTATCCAGAATGACACAGAAGTAACAGGCAGAGGGGACAATAATGATGGTTTTTAATAGTTTATAAGCAGTGAAAGGATGAACTGAGGCACAGAGTATTGGTTTGGAACAGGAAATTCTGTTTCAGAAATCAAACATGCTGAATGTACAGGACTGGTTCAATTCACCCTAAAGGGAATGCTATAATGACCTCCAATATAAATTTGGCTTTCAAGACATTCAGTCCCTATTTTGAAGATGAAAGGAATTCCATAGTATGCACTTTTCTTTTAATGCAGATTAAAATATGTTAAATTTGTGTCTTTCTGTGTTTCTGATAAGCATGTCATAAGACTTTTGGACTTCTCCAGAACAAAACCTTTTAGACACACAGATCTAGAAAAACATCAATCATTCCTTCTAGTTATAGGACTAGATACTGTCCTATATCTGAAACCATATTTTCAGTAAACAACTCATGTAAGTGTTACAGTTTCAGTTTTTAAAATGGAACTTTTACTGCAGAAGAACAACATACTTCAGACCACAGCATTTTGTTGGAAAAATAGTACAGTCACCAAAGTTCTGCAATTTTTCAAGGCTTTTAAACACACTAATGAAAGAATTGCAGATATGACTCAAGTTGCCAATAAGCAAGCTGTATCTGCTTACATGTGCTCTGCCATCTGTTTAATTCCTATACTTATGGTTCATGGAATCATAGAATTGCAGAGACGGAAAGGGACGGTGAGGATCGTCTCGTCCAACCCCTTGTAAATATGCTAGCGGTTTTATTGCTGCACCACTAGCCCAGATTGCCTCATGCAGTGCCTAAACGATGACTGGTTCAAAATTGATATACACATATATAGAAGGACATGTTCTTATCCTGAGCGCCTCCTCTGAAACAGCAAAAGGCACACTGTTCCACTTGTGGTGGACAATACAATGTGCACAGTAATCTTTTACATTAGTTCAAAATGAACCTAATTGTTCATTGTTTTGCTGCAACAACTGCTGGGCTTCATACAGCTGCAACGTCAATCTTCGTAGCACATCCAGCTGGATTCCACTCTTTTCATTCACTTACTGTGTTTGTATATTAAGGGGTATATCCATCCTGTTAAACTACAGATGTCCTGGAAACTTTATAGGCATTGGAAGCAGGGACCAACAATAGGATACTTTGTCACAAGTACTTTCGGCTGCAAACAACTGCAGTTTCATGTGGGGAAAGTATTTCTTGGACTAGTAAGAACAGTTAAGATTTTCCAGTGCACATAATATAGTTTTGGGTTTAGGTCCCATCTCTTCCCCACAGACCATTCTAGGTTATTCAGCCCCAGCTCCCACTAGCATATGGGTGCATATAAAGATTCATAACAAGATGAAGGAAAGTCACACACTTCAGTAGTTCTATATGCAGGAATCACTCTCCACTAGACATCTCTTTTTTTTCTTTTTTTCTTTTTTGCACCAAGATTTCTATAATTTAAAGAATTCTAGGTATTACCTATCTGTATTTATTCCTTTATTTTTCAGATTAGTAGTCTAGCATTCTGCCATAACAAGCACGGAAGGCACTTCACAATTAAAAGCTGTCATCTTAATTGTCCTAACACTGGGCTGCTTTAACCTTGATACCCTTTTTTCTTTACTTGTTATACCCAACATTGACAAAGATGCTCTGTGCATTCCTCCTGCATTTGCCCCACTCTGACTAAATCCCACCTGGATGTTTTTTGTCCCAAAGGAGGAAACATGCAGGCATTATATAGGAACCTATATGTTTGTCCTATAGGGCAAACAACAGCTTCAGCAAAGAAAAAAAATAGATAAGTAGTGTATGACCAAAAAAGAAAGAAGGTAAATACCAGGAGCTCAACGCCTCTTCACATTCTGCTTCTTCCCATGAATGTGCTATTCCTGGCACTGAAGCCAGCCCTATACAGGGTCAGGGCGGGGGGGGGGGTTTGGATCGTGCCAGTTCCAGCCCGCCTCACAACCCTCAAAGTCTAGGCATTCCACACAGGGACTTCCACACATAGATGGGAACCACATACTTGGTATGCTACATTTTTACACGATGTTCCAATTACACAATTTTCATATGGATGTGTAAGGCCCCCCGGTTGCTGTTCTTCCCCATGCGCCAAGGGAGACACAAGCACCATTCTCCCTATGCTCATGTTGAAATTCCGCATAAGGTTTTAATGTCCAGGCTGTCAGTGAAGAGGCTAGCAATGGTACCAGCCCCAACAACTATGTTACATCTCCACAATCAGAAGCCACTTGCTGGGAGTCACAAGTGGGAAAAGGGCTGTTGTGTTTTGAAGTCACACTGCTGGGCTTCTCATAGGCATCTGGCTGGCAGCCACAGTGAGTACAGGCTCCTACGTTCTGAAAGTTTCACAAGTCCACATCTATACTGCTTTTGTAAGCCACCTGGAGAACTTTCCTTACTGAGTGGCATTTGAACATGGTTAATAAATAAGCACACACTGTTGCCCATACTGATTTATATCAGATGTCCTGAGGAGTATAATTCCTGGCTGAGAGGAAAAATCCAAAGCAAGGAAGAACTATTTCAGACTTTTATTGCAGCATCCTTATTGAGGTTGCCAATGGGTTTCTAAGGATATTTTCAGCCTAACAAATAGCTTAGCATATTTGATAATTTTTAAAAGGAGCCAGGGAGAGTATGAGGATACTCCTTCAGCAATCACAGTGCAAAACTGCCCCACTGAAAAAGACAACAGAGAGAATATGGCTTATTTCAAGAAAGAAGCAACCTATTTATCACTCAAAGTGACAAGATGTCCACAGTTTGCTATTCACTGCATGGGAACTGAGGCTATCTAAGACAACCAGTACTCTTTTAACCACAGCAGGAATTGATATATAAAGCATTTATCGCTGACAAGCATTCTGCAAACAGTCAAGTGACCTTGACCAGTGCTATTTGCTACATGTTGGTTTGGTGCCTAGGACAACAATTACGCAAGATAGATGCATTATTTTTGATCTCCAGTAAGCTTGTATCTGAGATCATAAAGGTCCGTGGAAGCATGGCTTATATTTACAAGACCAATAACCTTATAAACTGGATTACTGCAATCCCACAGAAGCACAAAAACTAAACTGCTGAGCAGCTGAATTGTCTAAACTGTCAGTGGCGACTCTTCTGGGTCCTATCCTTAAATTGCAACAGCATACTTACCCACAAGAAAAATGCAATTCTGGAGCAAGTTTTCAAAGGCAGCCAGACAAATATACATTACAAACGCAAATCTGATTTAGCGATCAATGCAATTGATCTATTTTTATGTAATGTATAGCCACTTTTGTCAACAAACTTTTCAGTGCAAAATGGGTTCTCCAATTTATTTAACTATATTTATATACTGCTTAAATAAATAAAAATCTCTAAGCAGTTTATATAACATATTCACAAGAAAATCCCAATAAAGTAAACACATAAAACACATATAGACATAAAGGAATTATCAAAATGTAGCTAAAGTTATCAGTTTTAAAAACATACATACCGGTACATAATCAAATTACATGTCTGACTAGGCTTGTCTGAACAAAAAATTTTTTAGCAGGCATCAAAAACAGTACAGTGAAGGCACCTGTATTTACTAGATTGGTGCAACAAGTCTTGCAAGTCAACAGCTTCTCAAACCTAAGCTTTGCTATTCCATTAAAAGGACTGAGCACCACTCATGATAAAAACACTTCTACCTAGCATTCCTCTAATGCCAGCTGATGTTAAATATTAGCAGTAGTTTATAGCAGCAATAGGAGTGACTTTCCAACTCTGGTCTATCAGTAGCAGGTTGACAGCTGTGCATATACAATAAGGGAAAGCCAAGTGTATGCAAACTTTTCTGTTTACTATATGCAGCTATTTCCATTACATTATGCAGATCAATGGAATGATAAAAGTGATTGGATTGGATTTTTTGCAGCTCCTGATCTAGACAGTTGTACTCCCAAAGGAAACCAGAAAATATAATAAAGATTCTTCAATGTGCTGGGAAAGAAAATACAAGATTTTATGCCTTTGCAATGAAATCTGGGATAAGGGTTATGTCACCGGACATGTCACAGTAGGCACTGTCCAATAGGTGCTCATATATATTAGAGAGCACTGCCAGTTCTGAAGATAGAAGGTAGTTCTTTATATGTTATGGCTTAAAATACCTGGGAAATGGTTTGAACATTTCCTGCGATGGGACAAGAAAGATGAACACATGTACCATAGGCAATGGCAGAGCTAAATACCACTCTCTGAACAGCTACTGTCTATTCTGTCTTATGTATAGTCTTAAATACTTTTTCTGCATTTCCAGAGCTTCTACTTCAAACACTCTTCTTTGCTGGGGTAACAGGGAAGCTACAGAGAAAAGCTAGCATAGTTTATTGCACAGTGGTGCTAAATACAAGGCTGTTATTGAGCTCATCTTACAAGGGAAGCAGTTAATTTGGGAGGCTAACAGCTGCATGCTACGGATGGAGAAGGAAACCTGAGACCAAGTGGAAGAGCCATTTCCTTTTTGTTTTTAGGATGCGGTGTCTCAATAAAGAGAGGAATTCTTTTTCTTAAAGCCAAAGCAGCATCTCCTATGGACTCTCAAAAAAAACAACAACCAAGCACAAAATAATCTGAATCCTCTCTATTAAAATAAATATTCACTAGCGCAAACATTTCTATTGAATGTGTTTTGTGCTATTCAGCTATGAATGTGATGAATGATGGATATGTGCAAGAACTATGTTTTATAGAACAAAAAAGGGCAAGCGGAAGACATGAATAATCAGCAGAAGGCTCTATCCTTTACCTCCAAAACCTTTCACAATTTTCAGGCAGAGAAATATATAATGTTCCAACTTTGCACATCACAGTAAACTGTGGTTTGTGGCTTACTACGAGCAAGTAGTATACTAGTGCACACTATCCAAATTGCTGCCACTTTGCTCCTCTTCTGGGATGAAGAGCAAGCCATTAAGCTTGGCTTATCACTATGCACAAACTCAGAATTATGCTTTATTTTTTCCTAGTGGACCATGATCACGAAGCCAAGGTTTGTTCTTGGCTTCCTGAGTGTCTGTATTCTTGGCTTGTTGCTCCTGATCATGCAAGCTAAGGTGCAAAACTGATGCAATGAGGCAGACTAGCATACCGCTTCTGCATGGTAAGCTATGATCTGGGCTGACGTCCAGTTTCATGATTACCACATGGAACAAGCAACAAAATGATTCATATCCCCCAACCTGTCAAATTAGATCTCGACAGGATGCTAGCACTTTTGCAATATTTTTGTTTAAAGAAGGGGTGAATCTCCACACCTCTTTAATACATTTGTCCAGCATTCAACCAGAGAACAATAATTTCCTTTATCTTCTCTTTATGTTATGCAGGGTTTTGTTTTGTTTTTTACTGACAACTACATCTGCAGTCCTTTGCACAACTTAGGCATTTTGTTACTAGCAGGAAAAGACTCAGATTTAATGGGACACACCAGGCAGCTATAAACAAGTAACACGGGAAGTTGTAAATGAGACAGTTACAAAACACTGAACAGCAGTTTGTGATGCTAGTAAAGAATCATAATTTTTCTCTGGCACTTAGGAAGTCCTAGAATGCATGCACATGCGCAGTTTAGAGGATCTCGTGGAGCAGCCAATCCCATACTGACTACATACCCTTTGATGCCGGAAAGGAACCCACAAGCTTAGCCAAGAATCCAGCTGGGAACTGGCCCAGATCAAACTCCTGTTTCTTAGTGCTGCCGCCACCATCCTCCATTTCCTTCCCCTAGTCACGAGAGGTCTTTTTCCACCCAGGTGAACATGCATGATAGAGATTGCAGCTCACTGTTTTCCTTTCCACTAGATCTTTGCTATTAGGAAGAGCTGGGAGATCCTGACCAGGAGATAAGCAGCAACAGAGAAATGGAAGCGGCAGAGGTCCAGCGGCAGGGGGAAGTTAAGAGCCACAGCCCATCCTGGATACCCTTCCCTTCCTCTCTGGCAGCTGTGACCGTGTCAAATATCACCGTCAAGAGTCGCTGCTCGGATTCCCAGCTGTAGCTGGAAGCGGTGAATCCTATCTGTTCCCTACACATGCACAAACAAGGCAAGGAACTTCTTTCCTACAGAGGAAATTCCACTGAGTACACCTGTTTTCACCAGTCTCATCTTATATCAAAGCCATTTTCCCACTGGGAAGATAATTCCATATAAGCTACACTATGGGAAAAGGGCATTTTATACATGTCTAAGAAATACAACCTGTATAATTGCATAGAGCCTAAATATAATTTTAAGAAAGTTCTGGAAATATGAAAGTCAGTTCTGAACTGCAAAAAAAATGTCACCCCAAATAAGATATAACTGAGATGGCTGGGCTAAGTAATGCATTTTGTCTCCTGCCTTAGGGCTGGACCATGTGAAGTTCAGGTCTAATGTTTTACATTCCCATTAGCAATATGATTCTATAAACTGATATTAAATTTATAACAGAAGCACTCAATAAGCTTAGTACCCATTGGCATTGTCAGATGGTTGGCCAAGACTTTATAAACCATGTCTTATAAACTGGTTTATAAACCATGGTTTATAAAGCCAGGATGAGCATCATAGACATATGCTCCTCCCTCACCCCTCCTTTCAACATCAAGATACAGTGGTACCTTGAGTTAAAAATGCCTCGGGTTACAGGCGTTTCAGGTTACAAAATCCGCTAATCTGGAAGAGTTACCTCGAGTTGAGAACTTTGCCCCAGGATGAGAATGGAAATCGTGTGCCCCATTAGCGAAAGCACACCTCTAGTTAAGAACAGTTTCAGGTTAAGAATGGACCTCCAGAACAAATAAAGTTCGTAACTAGAGGTACCACTGTACTGGCTTACATTAGGCCAGAGTTCCCTGTGCATTTGAAATGGGAAACTGACCTTAATTAAGGATAACAAACCAGAAGAATAAGCTTAGCTTAGGCCCCATGTGAAGTCCTCCAAGATCCTCCATCCGGCCTTCAAGATTCCTCCCAGGCCACACCTTTCACAAACACTGCTCGGTACCCTTCCTAGAGTGCTTCAGCCTAGCTAGAATGTGTTCTTTATCTGAGATTACTGCATCTTGTTTGTCAGGATGCAGAGACGCATCTCTCTGTGTAGAAACTTCCAACTTTTGCATGGCTAGAATGTGCAAAAGTAAGATTCGCATCTATTGCTCTGGCCCCTTCCCACCACTAGCATGTGCGAACTCTGCCCCATGAGGGAATACAGTCCACAGCCTGGAAAAGGTTCCCCACACCTAGGATAAAATATTAAAAAATTATCCATAATGTGAAGATTTAAACACTCAGGGTCATCCAAAGAAAGAGATTAACGACAGATTCCAGGCAGACAGAGCAAAGTGCATATAGCCTCACCACCCAACATAACTTATGGAACTCATTGCCACAGGATGTGATGATGGCTACTTGTTTAGAGAAAATCATGGAAGAGGATATGCCTGTCTATATGGCTGTGAGGCACCTCCATGTTCAGGGAATGTATGTTGCTTCCATGCCTTGGATGTGGGCTTGCCAGAAGCATCCCAGAGGCATTGTGTTGGCTCTATGGACCTTTGGCTTAATGCAGTGAAGCGCTTCTTTTGTACTAATTGTCTGTCCTACGAACATTTATCCAAGCTCCACTGATCCTTCATCTTTTATTCAACATTAGCAAATAGTACACAGCCTAAATTCAGCGGTAGTCTCATAAGGCTGGCATTTTTTTGCTGACGTTGAATTTAGTCTTCCTGCAAATTAAGAAATCAAGTAAACTAGGTTCAATTTTATTCAAAACATTTTAACTTAATATAACCTACTCAGGTGGTTGTGAATGTGCAGTTTCCTTTTCAATTGCTGCAGAACAATGGGATTTGCTTTGCAGTAAATTACTGTGAAAGCATAAGTGGTTCAATATTCTGCAGCGTGCTGTATGGTGTCTATGGTCTTTGAAGTAGATGAATAAGATTACAAGTAATATGAAAATTCTCCCTTTAGTCTATTTTAAGCAAGCAGATGGAAAGCTGATTATGTTTTCATTCATGATATCTCTTAAGAATTTCACAAGCTTCTGAAGCAGGTGTCCTTAAACGGTCAGATGACTTTGCATAAGACTTCCTGTCAAACAGGTGCCTAGATCAGCAATTAATTCCAGTCTTAACTCTTTCCATAAACATCAAGCTATCACCACCACAAAACAGACCTGCCATCATTTGTGCTATATATTTTTATGAATGAAATGGTTTTGTCTTTCACAAGTTGTACACAGATATCATTTCACTATTCACAAATCTCCATTCACTGGTGGAAGAGATCAGAACAGCTGTTCAGAAGTGAACAGCAATACCAGAAAACGGAATACGAGTGGGGAAATGATACCACATGGGCTTTAAGGCTGAAGGAAGATACTGAAGGAGTCAAAATGATACATGGGAAGGATGCAGGTGTGAACTACAGCTGCTCCTTACAACTACCGTATTTACTCGAGTGTAAGGCGCACCTTTTTTGGCCAAATTATGTCATGAAAATTAGGGTGTGCATTAGGTTTCATGGCACATTAGATTCAATTGCAAGCTTGAAAAGCACCGCTGATGCAGCAAATACTTTGGGGGTTCATAGGTTTTGAAAACTTAGGTGCGCATTAGATTCGATGGCGCATGAGATTCACGTCAATACGGTATCATCAAACCATTTGTAAACCACTAGAAACTAGAAGCTACAAAACCATTTATTCCAATGGTTCTTTCAGGAACAGCATGTTAAAAAACAGAACTCACAGAGCAATCCTAACTAGTGCATCTCCTACATACATTAAGCTGCAATCTAAATATGTTGTTGTTGTTGTTTAGTCGTTTAGTTGTGTCCGACCCTTCGTGATCCCATGGACCAGAGCACGCCAGGCACTCCTGTCTTCCACTGGTCAAACTCTAAATATATACTATAATATAATACAATAATATATATAATTATATATAATAAAATTATATTATTATTTTTATAACTGCCAGTGAAGGCAGTGTAAATCTTCTCTCTGTTGGGTGAATTTTAGTTACAGGCATCCTAATTTGGCCCATGAAACTGTCTTTCCACAGCCATACACACTGAATCTCATAGAACATGAGGGCAGATGCGGGACGGCTAAAGCTGCAGCTGTAAATGAACAAGCAGGAGCCTCGCAATGCGCTCCAGATTGTTTCTCTGCAAGCAGAGCTTGCATTCAGCAGCTTTTAAATTTGATGCCAAATGCATGCTCCATTGAGGCAAGTTCCATACAAGAGTTCCCAATGGGAGGACCGATGTAGGAGGACTGCTGAAAGGGTAAACCATTTATATACACATATGCACATCACTTCTCACATTCCTAAAAGCTATGGCCATGGGGTATTTTTTTTTACTGGCACACAACTTTGGACCTAATTTAGTGATTATGTAGATTCTCATTTTTACATAATCTTGAATTTCTGGAATGTGATAACATTTCATTAAAATGTTACAGTATTTGCACGTTGGCTTCCACGTTACACATAAAATGATTTAATGTAATGTTCAATGCTCTTTTGCAATTTAGATTTTTGTTTCCTTTTGTCCCCTCAGTATTCTGTAGCAGGTTATCAAAACATTATGTTTAGGAGAGCAAATTACAGGCGTGCAAAATTTAATGTACTTAAGCTAAAAATATGTAGCCATGAGAGGTAAATAAAATTCTCAAGATTTTCACTACTATGAAGGAAACCCATTGCAGACGACATTATTAAAATTGCTGAACATGCACAATAAGAAAAAGACTGTAGACACCACATTAAAGTGCAGAATCCCCCCTGTTATGCCTTACTCGTGTCTACTCAGAAGAAAATCTGAGTTTAATTTGACTTACTCCCAGGAAACTGCAAATGATTGCAGCCTTAGTTCTCATTCTTCATAATTCAACATGTTGTGTGTTTTCTTAATAACTGTGTTTCTTCAATAAGTAACTAATTATAGCATCAATGCCCGACAAAACCCATACCAAGTTCAAGTTATCTTTCTTTTTTAATTTCCACAGTGGCTTCTAAATTAGTTCACATAATTTTTTATTTCATCTTAAAACAATGCACCATGACACACTATTTTCTTTTGAAAATACCAGTTACTGAAATTCCAATTCTGCACAAAAATATAATTAAAACAGGGATACCATAACTTTATTTACCTTGGTCTTTTCACCAATGGCATTTCTCTCCAGCTCAGCTATCTTCCTGTTTAAATGATCCAGTATTTCCTTCTCCTTGAGAAGTTCAGCTGTTTCAGATTTCTGCTCCCCATCCAATAGGGCACATTCCATATCCATCTAAGAACACGAAAAAAATTTCTCAGCCTCAAGCCAGCTCACAAAGAAATACTGACACACACTTTTTGAAGGCCTATTCATGCATGCTGCATATTTTAAAACACACTGTGATGCAAAGCCACATTAACTTCTCTTGAGATAGTTTAAGACATGTACAAAAACAGCATGCTATTGAAAACGGAATCCAAAGTTGGCAATTTTTCAAGAACTTTCTAGTGCTTCTGCTTCTGTCTGCTTGTAGTATTTTCACTTCCTCATGGCACAGTTGTTATGTTGATCCCTTTTGCAACAGCTGCTCCCCCTTTACTAAGGTTATTCACTAGGAACTGAGTCATTTGCAGGTTGTTTTTGGCAATGTGAGATCCCAAGTAAAGCAGAATTCAGAAGGGATTTATAATTTAACGGTGCCGTTCATTTCCTTACGCTTTGGCTATGGCAGATACCTCTGCAGTACTCCCAAGTAATACTTTGCAGTTCATATTTGCAATTTTGTAGCATTCATTACTTACATGATTGCAATCCTAAACACACTTACTAGAGGGTAAGCCCCCTTGAATATAGTGTGGTTTATAGATTAGACACCAAGATCCAAGCTGTTGTCCCAATGAGGATCACCAACCCCCACCCCAAGCTGCTATAGCACCCTTCACTTGGATGTGCTATTGTGCTATCATTCGCATAGGACTAAAAATAAATGCTAACACCCAATGTGCTGGTACTAAGGAGTGTGGCCAGCAGGTATATCAGCATCATGAGTACAGCTACTGTAAAAGGCACATTCTTGCTGTGTCTTCCATAGCTGTCAACTTTTCCCTTTTCTTGCAAGGAATCCTATTCAGAATAAGGGAATTTCCCTTAAAAAAAGGGGAAAGTTGACAGCTATGGTGCCTTCATGTGTTCACAAAATACATGTGGTGGCATGATGACCATTGTACCACGGGCAAGGTACCCTTTTGGCCCAGCTGAACAGATGGTTATCTCCCCACCAAGCCATAGGCCAACTTTGACAGGTGGGCAGAGCCACCTGTCAATCTTCAGCTGATAGGCAGGTAAGCATGGCTTGGGGGGAAATGGGGGGGGCAATTTGGACCCACCAGAAGACCAGGTTTGATCCATGGGCTAGTGGCTCTCCAGCCTTGTTTCATAGCAACCAACATTTCAGTAATCAGATGAATGTGTTTTATGTACACCTGCAGCTTCTTGCAGCAAGATAGAGGCTCAAATCTAATCAGATAAAAACAAAGAGAATACTTTTTATACCTCCCTAGAGGACTCATCCATCTGATCATTTAAATCTTTGACCTTCTGTTCAAGTTCTTCCAAGTTATTCAGTATTATAATGCGCTGTTCTTCCATCTGATTAAGCTCCAGTGCTCTTTGTTCATCACTTATGCACTCTGGTGTCTGAAAGAACAACAAGGAAGTGTTGTTACTTTTTAAAAATACAAGTTCCCAAAATGTATGTTTTCTCATTGCTCCACCCCCACCCCAACAACTGCTCTTAGTATTACCTAAAAATACCAGGCCCAAAACGTTGCTTAAGCCGGCAGATTTTTAAGAACAGCAGCAGCAGAATTGCACTGTATAAATCAGATTTCCCCCCTCCTTTGTTAATACTGTTTTCTCATATTCCTCAAAGGTGCTGTTTCAAAACTCCTACCCGTTTACCTATTGGACAATATGGGAAGATACAAAAACTAGTGTCAAGGCTATTTTCTGAGCAACTATTTTCTGCATCCTGTGATTTTTTTCCTGGGGGGATGCAGGGATACACATACTCCTAAACAGTTTGTGAATCTTTGTACTTTTGTCCACTTACTGTATTTACTTTCCCCGATTTGAACTATAAAATGGTGATTTTCTTGAGTCAAAATGAGAGTACCCCTAAACATTTTTTTTTATAGAAAGAAAAGCACTGCCTGCATCAAACTGCTTTAAACCCTAGCACAGGCAGAGACTGATAGCACAACAATCTCTTCAGGTTTATTCACACATTGCCTGTGCTTAGGACTGCATCCCTGGTGTCCTGACTATGGCTTTTGTGTTCCAAGGGGGGCTGGTTAGTCTTCAGAGGGCAAATTAGTTGCATAAGGTCACAAGAGTATTTCTCAGTATCAGAACTACACCCAGGACTCAGTTCCTATTCTCTGTCCTTTGCCTTAAATTACTAAACCATATGGCCTTCTCTCAGACGTCTGTTAAGCAATACAGTTTTGGAGCTACAACTCTGGCATTTTAGAACAAATAATGAATTGCATTCAAGTGATCACTGCTATTGCTATTAACATAATATAACAGATTTTTTTTTTAATGAACTGTACTCCTTACTAGCACTAGTAATCCTAACAGGAAAGCCCCCTTTTCACAAGAATCCCTGCTCAGCTATTTCTAACACTGCAGCTTGGGTTTCACGTTCCTAGCAGAGAATTAACAACAGGCCTCCTCACTTATAGGAGGCAAAGTATAATCATAAGGAAGAGATGCAAGACCACAATCCTGTAAAGACAAAGGGGGGGGGACATTATAAACAAGCAGAGGGGGCACATGAAGAAGGGACTAGATGATTATTGCAGGGTGTGGGTCAGTTCATATAGCAGTATAGTGAGCAGTATAGCCCATCACCCCAGGAACAGCACTATGTGCTTTGAGAGGGAAAGAAGTATAAAGGTGACATGGAACAATTCCATACATCTCTCTCTCTCCTTATGATATGAAGAATGTACCAAAAGGGAGAAACTAACAGGACTGTCCCTCATCCTCAGCCTAACCCAGTTGGTCACTGCTGCTACAATAATACATTTTTTCTTATATGATTCCCTGTTCACCAACAATACACAGCAGCATCTGCCTCCTGGGAGCTCTGTGCAGAGTGTTTTAACTTCTGAAAAATTATTATGCTGATCCCATGAGAGCACAACACTTCTACTAAGACCTGAAGATTCAGGGTTCAATTTTTCTAAAAAGTCAATTCCGATCTCTTCGGGGTGTCGAAAAAACTGCAGCCTGGATTCCCCTCTCTCTCTGCCCTCCCAAAACCATTAGCAGTCTGCTAATCATAGCTCAGTGGGATGTGCAGTGCTTGTGTTGACAGTTCCTGGCACCATGCCATTCTCTAGTACAGGATACTATAAGGTCTAAAGGGCTCGAGGATATGAATTCACTTTTCTCATCCTTGTTTTCCTTTACCGGCTGACATATAACATTCTGTGTTTCCTGGAGGCAACTGAGCATACCCGGACATCATGAATCCTCCCTTTCAAATAGCATCACACTACACTTGTGGACAAACAGTTTAACGAAGACCACTTTGAGAGAGACATGAGTACTTATTGCCCCCCTTTTTATTTTCTCTCTCTCTAGAAAAAAGTAATGTCCAGAGGCATAAGAAAGGTCTAACTGACAGCTACTTGTTGTTTCATTTGGACCATATGTCAGCATTGAAAAGAAAAGAAGTCACCAGCTCTTATTTTTGAATACTGATCTGGTTGCGTATTTTGCAATGGCTTCACTTCCCATCTGTTGCTCTGATTGGTGCCAAGGGGACGGTGCACTTCCTGGATGCCGCCACAGTGTGGCAGCCTTGAATGTAGCCTGCACTACTATATGAACTGGGCTCTCTTTCTTTGGTTGTCCAACAGTGATGGCAGCTGAAAATCAAGTAGACCGCCCGCCCCCCCTTTGCAGTGGCAGTCAGTCACTAACAAACAGCATTGGGACCTGTCCGTGAAGAGGAGGTTGGTGCTGTTCAGAAAAGAAGTTACAAGGTGTTAGTTTGCACTTATCTGGATTGTGGCCTCAAAACTGGCATTTCTAAGCTAAACATATATATAAATGTAGGTTTGCGATGGAAACTTGTGGATTTTAACTATTTCTCATGGTAACTGATCTAACACAGAACGGGATCCCCAGCCAGTTTGTCTTATAAAGTATTTGCCATTACCTTGGACATGATGCTCAGGTAGGACGCTTCATTGGCACTCTTCAAGAAGGGAGAAGAAGGTAAGGGTGATGTTGTCCTGTTGTCACCTAAATGTTTATTTGTTCTCATCCCTCGGGGGGTAAAGAATCCCATAGCATTTTGACCTAGATCACTGAACTCAGAGAAGTCGGAATCTCCAGTTGGCATCTGCAAGTGATTTCTGAATCTCGTTTCGGGAGTCATCTGAGAATCGTCAAAGACAGAATCTTCTTCAGATACCTGAAGCTTTTCAAGTTCTTTATTGATTTTCTGAACATCAGCTACAGTTGTGACAGTGGCAGGATCACTGTCTGGCTTGGAATATTCTGCACACAGGTTAAGAATGGTCTCCAGCCGCTGACGCTCCTAATATTTGAAAGAAGCAATGAAAACCATTAAAGGTGAGGGCTAGGATACATGCAGAAATTAATATTAGCATCAAACTGAATGAAAAAGGTACTTAAAAACTGGCACATTGATCCTGAATCCTATATCCTGGAATGTAGGCATCATGGATTTCAATCTAACATTCTTCTAATTAGCAAGCAATTCGTACATCCTTTTTAAATTTAAGCAAGCAACATGCAAAGGTCATGCAAGGCATAAACTTTTAGTAAATTATGATCACTCACAGAAAACAATGGACTTCAGAAGGGCAAATCTTCTAAATAAACATTTGTGGTAATGCAAACGTTACGATCTAAGCAGACTATGAAGGATTACGACTACATCAACATCAGTGATTGCTGAATCTCCTCTTGAGAAACGCTGCAAACCACACTTCATGCTTGCATTTCAACATATGAGTACTCTGTACTTGTGCAGTTCATGTGACTGCAAAGCTGAGGGTTTGGCCGAATTACACCACTAAAGGCTTGAGAAAGCTGTCACCAACACATAGCTTTACATACCTCCAGGTACAGTATAAAGTCAGTTTTAAAGGATGGTTCTTCAGGATGCAAGTTAAACATGTTACAGTAGCCTTAACCTTGCATTCAAAAGCACTGTACATGACAACTAGGGCAACTAGAGTCTCAGCTGCCAGCTACCTAATTTTCAGCGTTCAGAAGTGCTCCTTTAACCTTAACCTTATTCCGAGTACTCAACTTCAATCTGTCTGCAAACTGAACATAAGAATAGACACAAAAAATAAGATCTAGTCCAAGCCTATGATTGTAAGGCCTGCTGAGTCCAAGGGAGCTTACTCCCAAGTAAATGTGCACAGGATTGCAATGTTACAGCACAATCTGATGCATGTCTATATAGGAACAAGTCTCATAGAATTTATTCCAGGATAAGTATGTCTGCACCCCTAGGTGATTTGCAAGCGGGTCGTATACAGATAGTTTTAAAAATAAATAAGAATGCTTAACAATGTTATAGAAAGGACTCATTCCTCCTCCCCCTTTTTTTAAATCTTGGGGGAAAGGCAAGTAGAGTTTGTGAAATCAAGATTTTCTGCATATCCATGAAAAACATGCAAGTATATGAAAAAAGAGCCCAATGCTATCCCGAAAAAGATAAGATTATGAGAAAATTCTGTACTTGCTTCTGAATTCTACCTTCTAGTCATGGAGAAAATATCAGTATAGTTGAGCTAGCATAGCTAGTCAAATGCATTCTTGAATTATCTTGTAACCTGACTTCCCCTCTTCTCCTCTCTCAAGACAGTAAAATGAAAAGACAAAATGACAACAAAATCCTTGCACCTCAAAACTCCTTTGTTCCCTCCATGCATTTTCTCCACAAGCCTCCAGCTCCCTCTTCATTTGCTTAGCCCGTATTTTCTCTCTTCCTCTTAAACCCGTATTCTTTGAGTAGCCAACCCATTTCTGAAAGCATCGTCTAACTGCTGGCCAGGAACATTTATCCATCCCTTGATGCTGCAACAGGCTACTGTGCTGGCACTTTTGCTACACCTTCACGGCAACGGTTGGGATAAACAAAACTCCACCCCCACACAGAGCGACAGGATGTGTCTGTACTGGCGTCTCTCCTCACCCACTCTTTGGAAGACAGGGCATATCAAATGGAAGCCTGCGTGGCTGCCGTTCACCTTAGCCTTTCTCAAATGCAACGGGCTGAGTTTTGCTCTCAACCCAGAACTGACAAGACAGTCTAGAATGCACCAAACTTTAGGGTGAACAGGTGTTTTTTATATTTAAAAAATGCAGAAAAAAATCTCGAGGATATTACAATTTTAAGAACTGATTCTCAACCACTGAGAATGCAGAGAAAATCTTCTTTCTGAATGCAACTGCTGATACTTCAAACATACAACTCAAGATGTGGATTTTAAATCTGGAAAAGCTGAAAACAGGTAGGTTCAGCGAGAAACTACAAGCCCCTAAATGCCTATATTTGCAAGAAAGAATGCCTCTATGCCTAAATAACAAGCATAGCTTCCTTTCGCTATAGAGGTAATAGGAGACTATGTTGCGTTGCTTCATTTCTATTTTGACTTGCACAACGTGGTATGAGAAAGCTTATGCACAGGAAGTTCTGTCGGCTGCTATTCTGTGCTGTCTGTTCACATCATCCTATTGGCTGCCAGCTAGTCGTGGTTTCATTGCACCTGCATTCTGTTCATGCCATAAATTTAATTTCTTTTTGCAACTCAGGAAAACAGAGAGGCAACCGGGAGACTCACAGACATTAACAGTGCACACGTAGTTTCTTTTTATTACCACAGCATATTTCACAAAATATGACACTCATCGCATTATAAGACAACTGCCTATTCTATGGAGATTCAAAGGGCACAATCCACCATGAAATTAGGTAGAGCAGAAAAAACACAATGAGATTATTAGAGAGGGTGGTATTCAACTAAGCATAACTCAGTGTAGGCCCATTAAAATGAATGAACATGACTAAATGAGGTTCATTAATTTCAACAGATCTAAGCTGAGTAAAATGCAGTTGAATACCACCTAAGATGTTAAAGTATCTCAGTAGGTTCCAAGTACTTCCCATTAGACTGTGGAAAACGCACACTATTTTCTGTGATTGAGCTACCTTCAGGTGAGGAAAGGGGTTCTGGTCCTATGCTTTGACACTATTAGTCCATGGCTGGCCACAGAAGATGTTCTGTGTCCTTGGTTCTAGCAACTCCTCTGCCTCATAGTTCAACAATAGGGTCACAACCACCTTTTCACACAAAAGAAATCTGTGGTGAAATCTATGGTTCTGCTAAGGTGGAACAGAGTGCAAAGCAGACGTGCATATCTCCAGCCCTTACAGGTTCCACCTGTTTCATTTGTACTGCTGTCTCTTACGTTCTAGGGTGTTACATAGATTCAATATGTTATTGCAAATGTAAATTGGAGCTTCCCTACCTCCTGAGTTTTCTAGTCTACAGGTAAGAGCTGTGAACTAGGAATCTTTGTGTCAAATCTCACCTCAGGCATGAACTCACTTGCTGTCTTTAAGGTGTCACTACTTCTCAACCACAACCCACAATAGGGATTATGGGAATATAAAGATCAACCAGGCTTTTGGCACATTCATAATTCAGCATTTCAATATATGGATTTAATTTAAGAGGAATAATCATAATCATAACAACAATAATAATAATAATAATTTATACCCCGCCCATCAAGCTGGGTTTCCCCAGCCACTCTGGGCAGCTTCCAACAGAATATGAATAATAAAAATAATAAAAATAAAACATCAGTCATTAAAAACTTCCCTAAACAGGGTTGCCTTCAGGACTGTCTTCTAAAAGTCTGATAGCTGTTTATTTCCTCGACATCTGATGGGAGGGCGTTCCACAGGGCGGGCGCCACTAGCGAGAAGGCCCTCTGCCTGATTCCCTGTAGCTTTACTTCTTGCAGTGAGGGAACTGCCAGAAGGCCCTCGATGTTGGACCTCAGTGACTGGGCAGAATGATGGGGGTGAAGACACTCCTTCAGGTAGACTGGGCCAAGGCCGTTTAGGTAATGTGTCATTGTTTTGCCTATTATATTTCACCACTATCACCCCAAAGGTAGCAAATCCCACATCTGCTATGTGAAATGACAATAAGATTTTAATTTATAAATTATTATTATTATTATTATTATTATTATTATACACACACTAGCAGCACAACCAATGGCCTCTGAGACCATCCTGAATAGCACAATAATAAGAGTAATGTGATCAGTGTCTCCTTGAGAAGCACTGGCTTTGATCTATGAAGACTTCAGTGGCTCAGCGCCCTAAGGAAACTCTCTTCCCATATGACCCTTAGGTCATCAGCAGAGGCCCTCTTCAGAGTACCCTCTCTGGCAGTAAGGTGGCAACAAGAGAACCTTTTCAATTGTAGGTCCCTGACTATGGAGTGCTCTCCCCAGAAAAAACCACCAGGTGGCAGCATTACTTCCTTTTTTAGTGCCAGGACTAGGGAGCTTCCTAACCAGCTTTTCAACTGAGCATTCATGTTAACGTGTTCATACAAAAGTTACTGAGCATTCATCCCGATATGTTCATGCAAAGGTATCTGGGAGGCACTGGGAGACAACAGCTGTTATCCTGCACTTTCCGGTGCAATTTTCTGTCACTTTTCCTATTGGACCTTTTGCAAGCAGGAAAAGTGATAAACTGCACTAGAAAGAGCAAAATAAGAACCCCATTTTGCATGAAGAAACAGCCTCTCCAGCAGCCAAGACTTTTCTCTACTCCCAGGGATTGGATTTTAGTTTTTTCTCTGGCTGCTTGGTGGTGGTTGCTTTAACAGTGATCCTTCTGATGTTTTGGGGGGATGAGGCTTTTTACCTGTTTGTGTGTGACCACTTACATCCTGGTGTGTGCGAATTCCTATATTTCCCCCTTTTTTATCTTTTTGCAAGTAGCCCTGAGATCTTTGTGATACAAGGAGATGAGCAAACGTTACTATTCTCTTTGCTTCGCTTCAAGGGTCTAATCAAGATGTAGCACAGATCGGAACATACTCCTTATATAAAATGAATAAATTAACTCTATATTTTCCAACTCTATGATTCTGTGATAGGGTGGTGATTGAATCTTTTTCAGCCCTAAGGTCACACTGACGGCCACACGCCTCTCTGTGGGCTACATGAACTAGCACATGTACATACACAGCACACTCACGAAACATGCAGGAACACAGCACCCCTTCATTCACACATGCAGATGCATACACACATAATCAGCATTTCCAGCCCTTTCCACTCCAATGCTTGGGGAGCGTGGCTTTTACTCTCCACAGAAAGCTACGTGTAACATGAAATGAACATGTCCACACATCCTCCACTCCGGCCCTGAGGTACAGGTGAAATACTGACTCTTCACTGTTAAAGAGCAGGCAGAGGGCTTTATCTCTCCTCTCAGTGCTGCAGTGCTGAGCACTGAGATCCTTCTGGCTGCTCTTGAGTTAGAAGATTTATATCAGGCATAGGCAAACTCTGACCATCCAGATGTTTTGGAACTACAATTCCCATCATCCCTAGCTAACAGGACCAGTGGTCAGGGATGATGGGAATTGTAGTCTCAAAGCATCTGGAGGGCCAGAGTTTGCCTATGCCTGATTTATGTTCTGATCTTAGTGCTGTAGTGGATTTCATCTCCAGATCTCCAGGATCCGGATTGCTCTCTAAACATCAGACAGAGAACTTCATATCCTGATCACTTGGACTGGAATGTATATATTAAATTTGTATTAAATTTTCTGTTTTACAATTTTGAATACTCATCTAAACATCCTTAAAATACCAATGACTTCCCTTCTTCTCTTTCCATAGTTCATTTTGCATACCATAAATCCCTGCATATTTAACATAAACTAAACCATTCCATATTCCATTGTTACATCTATCAAAACTTATTTGCGCTCTTGAATTTATCTTAATGCTGCCAATGTATTCAAGTGTAAACAATTTCCCCCCATATATTCAATAAACATTTTCCAATCTTCTCTAAACATATGTTCTTGTTCTCTTATTCTATATTTTAAGTCTGCAATCCGCGCATATTCTATCAACTTAAGTTGCCACTCTTCTTTGGTAGGGACATGCTCGTTTTCCATTTTAGGGCTAACAAAACCCGGGCCGCAGTAGTGGCATACATAAATAACCTTTTTTGATATTTTAATCACTGAGATGGGATGCAAAACAACTGAAACCAACCCTATGTGTGCTTTTGCGTATCTATTACATAATTTTTTATTAAGTAGCACCATCTAGAGGCAAAACTGTGCACGTCCTTAAACTGCAGACTGGTTTTACTCAATTTGGACACCAGAGGCAGAGCTGTCCATTTCTCCTCAGCAGTCCATTCCCTAACTTCAACATGTCAGGAGCCTGAGGCATGAAAGCAAGACAGAATAATAGAACCAGACAATTGTAGAGTTGAAAGGCACCATGAGGCTCATCTAGTCTAACTTCCCTGCAATGCGGGAATCTTTTTGCCTGACGTGGGGTTCAAACCCATGCCCTGATTTTCAGAGTCTCTTGCTTGACCAGCTGAGCTATCCCATGGTCCAATGCTTGAACACAGAGAAGCAAAGGCTAACCAACTGGGCCAAATCATTTGGCCACGTGTCGCTGAAAGATCCCAGAAGATTCAGCACTGCCTCTTGTCAGACACGCAGAAGAACCCTGTTACTAAAAATATGCTAACTTGCTAAAGGGGTCAGTACCACGATCAAGCATGATATTGACTACTGTTCCTGAATTGATGTGCCAACAAGGAACTAGGCATGCTATGGAAATGGAAGGCGCTTCGGCTTTTATGAATTAAATCTATGTTTTATCTCTGCTTGGTAAACAAAGGATCTATGCACAATTCCAGAAGCTGGAATTCTCCCTGCTTGCTAGTCATTTATCTGCCTCATTGGAAGTGGAACTCACAGGGGCCTAGTACTGTATTGGGGGTAAGTTGGATCAGGAATATAGAGCAGGAGAAAGAGTCAAACAATTCTTCCTCTGGTGCTGTAAAAGTAAAGGTACCCCTGACCGTTAGGTCCAGTCGCGGACGACTCTGGGGTTGCGGCGCTCATCTCGCTCTATAGGCCGAGGGAGCCGGCGTACAGCTTCCAGGTCATGTGGCCAGCATGACTAAGTCACTTCTGCCGAACCAGAGCAGCACACAGAAATGCCGTTTACCTTCCCGCCAGAGAAGGTATCTACTTGCACTTTGATGTGCTTTCGAACTGCTAGGCGGGCAGGAGCTGGGACCAAACAACAGGAGCTCACCCCGTCACACGGATTCGAACCGCCAACTTTCTGATTGGCAAGCCCTAGGTTCTGTAGTTTAGACCACAGCGCCACCCAGAAAGCCAGCAACCCCACACTGTCACCATCAAATAAACAGTCCTGAATTATATCCAGACGTTGGACATTTTATGTTCTTGCAGAGAAATCTTATATATACCAACTCAGAAGTATTTGCTTCAATGGGGCTTACTCCCACATAAATTGGACCTAAGATTGTAGCCTCAAAGTGAGACACTAATAATGCATATTATTTCATTGTTTTCCCTGAAGAGGCAGGGAATCCTCCATGGCATACTTACAAGGTTCCTGGAAATGTAACATCCCTACTTGTGCATTTGAATGAGTTCTCAAGAAAACAGAATAAATTATTGTGATTTGAGAATAATTAATGCTGAACACTTTTTTTTTTTTAAGTAAGGAGGAGAAGATGCTAAAACTAGCTTCTTATTTATCCACTGGAAATGGATCTAGATTGTTCTTTGCTTGCTTCTCCACACACAGGGCAGAAACACAGAGCGAGTCTGGCGTCACAGCTTGCCCTGTAACTAAGCACAACACCAAGAGGCTCCTTTGAAGGATAGTACAATTAAAGCTGCAGAACAGCTGACCTTTTGAAAAAAGCATTAAGCCAAGGATGGAAGGGGTCTGCCCGACAAATACACGCTTCCTTCCAGAGCTGTTATTGTTGGTTCTTAACGCCCTTCAAAGGTTTGAACACAAAGTCCTCAATCCCAGCCCTCTGAGTGGCCAACTTGAAAGACAATTACCCTTCTAGAATGCTAAAAAGGGAAAACTAAATTAAGTGGGAGGAAATTCCTTCATATGTAAACACCGAGGCTCTTTCCACATGTCACAAACCAGCAGGCCTACATCCTATTACAGGATGAAAGCTGTTAAAAGGGAGAAGAAAGTGCTGCTGTAAGGGAAACAACAGCCAAACAGAATCAGAAACAAATATTTTGTCATTTTATCTTTATGATAAGTACTATTCCTCAAGCTTTCACAAGGGTACAATTACTGGTTCCTCCAAATCTCTCATTAAGAGATTTCTCTTTTTACCTCTGTATACCCACATCAGCAATGAATATCCTCTATTGTGTGGGGCCACAGGGCACCTAGTATGACTCTCTAATGTCCCACTAGGCCTCTGAAACATGTTTCTCTGCACATTCCATCCTTCAAGCAGAACGCACTAGGAACAGGAACCACCAGAATACTTGCTGACTGTTGCAAACCAATGACAAGAGGCTTAGAGCCAGTGCAGAATGCACACACATTGTTAGATTTCTCATCACTTACGGGCTTGATGACTTACAGCTGCATGTATGAAGCCCACTGTTATTTGAGGTATTCTGTTTTCTATGGAATGGCTCGTTCACACATTCAAGTCACCACTTGATACTTACTGCAAGTCTTGCAGTGATTTACATGCATGTGTGAACTCTCCCTGGAAAAAAAGCGCTTTGAAGGTTAGTCCTGTGCTATCTCACCATTTTTAAAAACTGCCTGGCACAAGCTATGATGCCCCCAAATGGAAACATGCTCCGACTGAACAATCTATCTATTTATTTTCTTGCAATTACCAGTACATTCAGCCTTTCTTCTGATATAGAACCTGAGGCAGCGTACATTTGGTTTCCAGGTGGCCACCCACCCAGACCTGTTTAGCTTCAGCAGGTAAAAGGTAAAGGACCCCCAGACGGTTAAGCCCAGTCAAAGGCGACTATGGGGCTGCAGCGCTCATCTCACTTTCATGCGTTTGTCCACAGACAGCTTTCCAGGTCATGTGGCCAGCAGGACTAAACCGCTTCTGGCACAACAGAACACCTTGATGTAAGCCAGAGCACAAGGAAATGCCGTTTACCTTTCCGCCACAGTGGTACCTATTTATCTACTTGCACTGGTGTGTTTTTGAACTGCTAGGTTGGCAGGAGCTGGGACAGAGCAACAGGAGCTCACCCCATCATGAGGATTTGAACCGTTGACCTTCTGATCAACAAGCCCAAGAGGCTCAGTGGTTTAGACCACAGTGCCACCCACAAGGTGGTGCCATCACATGCCTTCAGACCATACTCTGGTCTGCATGCTGTCACAAAATTTTCCAGTTTGCTCCCTTCAACAAAATGCACACAAGAATGCCTCCAAACAGCTTAGGCTGGAGACATGAGTTACTTACCCAGCCACCACAAAACAATGACATCAACTTTTTTTCTTTAAGTGTTGTATCCTTGCAGCCTATAATTTGTGGCTTTTAAGTATATGGTCATTTTGGCAGAACACGCAGGATGAATGGCTGAAATTCCTATCAATTTCCTACATCATACATATGATTTCATTAGACCGCCCAGATTTCAAGGCAGGACACTACATGGCCAATTGACTTCAGAGGTTGACAGAATAAACACTGTCTCACCCATGTACAAGGTCAAACACCCAAATCTGAAAACACAACAGCAGTGTGTGAGCGCCTGCACACACACACACACACACACACACACACACAACTTAATAATTTTAACTTGGGCAAAGGCTTGGAAGCAGAACATCTTGTTAAAAATTAACCAGAAAGTATCATTACCAGTCGTTCCATCTCCTGTTCTTTCAGCCTTTCTTCCCTCTGCCTCCTGTGGTAATCCATGAGGTCATCCCTTCCGGAAACAGAACTAATGCTATTCTTTCGCTCCCGGATGGAAGGGGTCTGCCTGAGGCTTTCCAGCTCCATTTCCTCAAACTCCATGGAACTGCTGGAAACTTTCCTTCTGATAGGGAACACTCTCTCGGGATCCACAGGGGTGAAAGAATTGATCGGGCTGGTCCCAGAGAGTCCAACTCTGTCAAAGTCGTCGGGCCCATACGGGGAAGAAGAAGCCAGGAGCATTTTTCGAGCTATGCGGGGGCTGGCAGGAACACTGAGAGTTGAATTCACATAGGAATTGGTTTCAGATGCAAAGTTCGTATGCGGCAAAACCCCTGAGGTGTAGGAAGAAAAGTTAAGGTAATTGTCAGCATCCAGTATACTCTGAGGTAGAAGATCTTTTTCCACAATCTTTTTTCTTTTGGTGTTCCCAAGGGAGTTCCTTGGGGGTAAACTTAGCGGCACCAGCTGGCTTTCTGACGATTTGTAAAGCCTGGGTAAAGAACGGCTATAAACTCCCATATGGCTCAGGGAACCTCCAGAATACTTCCTGGTTCTAGACCCCAACATGTCCACGGTTGGGTCCTTCTGTTTAGCTGGTCTGGTCTGAAGTGAAAGGAGATCTTGAATATTCATCCTCCTGCCTTGCTTTGGGCTGGAGGGCATACTAGCGGCTCCTGAGCATCCGAGTGGCGAAAGAATTATCTCATTCCCTGAGCTTCCATTCCACATGGCAAGAAGAGACGCAGCGTTTTTCCGCCCATCTAGCACTCCTGGGAAGTAGACGTTATCGTAAGATTTATTCTTCTGACTATACTTTGAGTAGGGAAACTTATCCAGATGTCCAAACTGTTTCTCATTTTCTCTGGCAACGTAAATATCAAAGTCTCTCTTCCCTAGGCTGTACCCACTTAAGGATGGAGACGTGCCTGAAATGGAGCCCAGATGTTTCCCAGAGATGTTCTTTTCTGAAAGGTAAGAGCTCTCACAAGCCAATGGCTTGCTTCCTTGGAGCTTGGAAGCAGATGACATACTCTTAACACTAGACGCAGGGCTGGATTTGGGTGGCAGTGGCTGTGAGAGTGTTAAGTAAGAACCGGCACAATCACTGTTTGCCTTGAACCTCAGACTCGGCGAATTTTTTTTCTGGTTAAGCCTGTCCATTATATCCTGGAGATCATTTTCAAGGGAATTCATCACTCCCTCCTTCCCTAAATTGGGATTTTGTAATTCCACCTGGTTTTGCACGTGACCATACTCTTCCATCATTTTACTGGCATCTGAAAGAGGGAGGAAGAGAAGGAAAAGAAAAAAGTTTCAGCAAGTGAATTATTTGGCATTAAACCTGCAATCAGATTACAATTCATGTGCAGAAACTCACATCGCATGAAATCCAGAATGCCTTTCTAGTAAATATGGTCATATAATCCAATAAGGATTGTTACTTTCAGGGAATGTGTCCAAAATACTTTATAAAAATTCGGGGAGGTTTCAAAAAACCATCTTGTAAGAAAAATCAAGGTGGAGAAGAGGGTTATCTCAATGTAGTGGAAGCAATAACTACACCAGACTTGCCCAGCATGTGTTTCTACCAAATCAGCAATGTACAATGACCCACCAGGGACACAATAACCTGTTTTAGCTGCCTGCCTGCCAAAATGGGGTACAAGAGCTGGATAGTTAAAGATCTGACTGGCTACTGTATATGGGTGGTAAGTTTCATTAGGCTTTGCTGGGTCACAGGTACCATTGGCCTGTCTAAATCTTCCAGATTACCCAGAATTTCTTTGGTGATCAGACCACATTATTAAATTTATTACATTCATATTCCACTTTTCCTCCAAAAAGCAAAAGGGAGTGTGCATGGGCTCTCCCAGCTTCCATTTTTTCCTCACAACAACCCTGAAATGTAGGTTAGATTGAGAAAAAGTGACTGGTTCGAGCTTCCTGGCCAAGGTGGGATTTGAACCCTTGTCTTCCAGGTTCTAATCCAACACTCTAATCACTTTATACCCTCCCCTAATGAGGTCTCTCATCTTGCCGAGATAGCGGAATTATATGGGATTACTCGCAAAGATCATAGTAGCATGATTCACTATGCTGTTCCTTTTCCAAAGCTCTCTGGATTCAGCTGGCAAACTGACTTTGAACAAAAACTCATGTTTTATAATATGAATACAGTTCCAATCAAAATACTATCATGGAGAAGTATTTTATTTTGCCCCTGCCTGCCAAGAAGCACAATCCAACCTGAAGTCTCAAAGTTTCTCATACTTAATGGGATGTCATTTCTAATAAACGGTACAACAGGAACTATGTAGTGCAACCCTGCCTTTATCAGGGATGGCAGCAGCTAGTTCTCAAAAAACACAGAATTAGTTATGCCTGAGAAGGGTTAGAATCCCAGACAATTCTAGGAGACACATTAGGCTAAGACTAAGATCCTAAGTACATTTACCTGGGCAGGAGTCTCATGTCTAGAATCCTGATGGAAGCCATGAGATTAATTTTAAAATATAGGGCTCTTTCCAGCTAAATCCACACAGGGATTGAATTCCCCTCCCTCTCTTCCCCCATCACACCACCCCCAAATCTGCTTGGATGTATGTGTGGAAAAACCCACAGCAAATTTGATGGACACACATCTTGGTTTTACGGTATATGTGCTGTGTGAGGAGGCAACAGGCTTAGATTAGGTGCTATGCACATTTCAGATGCATCTAGGACTGCCTCAAAGTACTGCAGGGACAAATATGCATACAGTGGTACCTTGGTTCTCAAACGCCTTGGTACGCAAACAACTTGGAACCCAAACACTGCAAACCGGAAGGAAGTGTTCCGATTTGTGAACATTTTTCGGAAGCCAAGCATGCTCCATTTTGAGTGCCACACTTCCATTTTGAGTACCAGACTTCTGTTTTGAGTGTTAAGCTGAGGTCTGTCTGTTTTTGCTATTTATTTTGAGTTTTGCGGCTCTTTTTTGTTTGTTTTTGTGACTGTGTGGAACCCAGTTCAGCTACTGATCAATTGATTGTGCGTCTGCAGTACATTGTTTATTGTTTCCATTTTATGAATCAACGGTCTTGTTAGATAGTAAAATTCATGTTAGATTGATGTTTTAGGGGTTGTTTTTAAAAGTCTGGAATGGATTAATCCACTTTGCATTACTTTCTATGGGAAAGTGTGCCTTGGTTTTGGAACGCTTTGGTTTTGGAACGGACTTCCTGAACGGTTAAAGTTTGAGAACCAAGGTACCACTGTATACGATTTTACATATTTTGAAAATATATTTTAAAATTCCTATTTCCCAGGTGTCTGTCTCCATCAATAGCAAAAGCAGACAGGTTCCTTGGTATATGAAGTTTCTGTATAAACAGAGCTGAAGCTTATTACTTTTTTTTAACCTAATAAACCACCTAAAACTAATCTTCAGTTCGGTTTGTATAAAATTGCTTTGTTTCTCTTTATTTCTGTTTTCCAACTATGAAGGAACCTGTTTGTTTTGCCTAAGCATGGCCTGTAATCTTAGATGGAAGGACCCAGGTTTTCAAGTTAACAAAACACACAGCATTTCCCCCTGAAAGTTATTGACAACACAGTTTAGATTTATCAGTGGTGATGCAAAAGACTATCCATCTGTGAAAGGGAGTCAAAGCACATGGAAAAATTTATTCATTGGCAAGTATCTTCCATTACTCCACCCAACACGCAAAAGAACAATTTGATTCAACTGCTGGCGTTATTATGTGCAGCTTCACATACCAGCCACCTAAGGACTGGAGCCTGGATGTTTAATATCCCAGCAATCCACAACCAGATGCCCATTGCCTAAGAAAGTTTCTGCTACTTCCCTTCTTGACCAACCACAGACTTAACTTTGACAAACATGCCAGCAAACCCATAAAGATCTGGAAAATTGCCCTGAAATGGAAAACTCTCCCCCTTAACCTCAAATGTGGTAGATGGTAAAATATATGTTCAGAAAAGCACATCATTTGTTCCAGAGCTGAACTAAGGTAGCCAAAGCAGGTTTGTGGGACTGAGATTTGGTTCCAGCTAAATGCTATGGATTTTTCAAGACGATTTAGGAACACAGAAAGTTAATGCAATATTTCCTGTTAATAAGTGCACATTTCTCCTTACCACACTGATCACAGATCTACCGTATTTTTCGCTCTAAAAGACGCACCAGACCATAAGACGCACCTAGTTTTTGGAGGAGGAAAACAAGAAAAAAAATATTCTGAATCTCAGAAGCCAGAACAACAAGAGGGATCGCCGCGCAGCGAAAGCAGTGATCCCTCTTGCTGTTCTGGCTTCTGGGATAGCTGCACAGCCTGCATTCACTCCATAAGACGCACACACATTTCCCCTTACTTTTTAGGAGGGAAAAAGTGAGTCTTATAGAGCAAAAAATACGGTACATTTATTTTTAAATTTAGACTCCATTTAAGCTGTTTCAGATATGGAGTTCCCTGCTGAAGTATGACTTCTGAGATGGTTTTATTGGCACTCCCAATGTAGCACAGATAAAACAGTTTGTTTTCATAGGTGCAAGAAGAACCTTTTCCAGCTGAAGGTCAGCCAGAGTTGAAATTGATTAGCTTTCATTACAGAGTGCCTGTCTCATCTGTATAGGCTGGATTTGCTAGTTAAAGCTATACGGATACATTGTCTTTTTCCTACTTGTCCGGTTTCTTAAAATAGGTAGCTAATTGGGAGACTCAGCATTATTGAACAGAAAGACTAACCAAATGAAGCTTGTTTTCCTGTAGCAGACCACAGCTGCATACGTGAAGTTGCAATACTAAACATATCTACTGAGGAATAAGCCCCACAGAGCATACAGGACTCACTTTTGAAAAAGCATGTGCAGGTTTATTTTGTGAATTACTGAAGTAACCTGAAGAAGAAGAAGAAGAAGAAGAAGAAGAAGAAGAAGAAGAAGAAGAAGAATTTATTATTTCTACCCCACCCATCTGGCTGGTTTCCCCCAGCCCCTCTGGGCAGCTTGCAAGAGAATATTAAAACATCAAACATTAAAAACTTCCCTAAACAGGGATGCCTTCAGATGTCTTCTAAAAGTCAGATAGTTGTTTATTTCCTTGATGGGAGGGTGTTCCACAGGCCACCACCAAGAAGGCCTTCTGCCTGGTTCCCTGTAACCTCACTTCTCGCAGGGAGGGAACCACCAGAAGGTTCTTGGAGCTGGACCTCAGTGTCTAGGCTGAATTATGGGGGTGGAGAAAGAATTGTACAGCAGAGTTGGGCATCAACATTTAAACAGTACCAGAACCATTAAATGTTATGACCGAGGTGGGGAACATTTTCCTCACAGAAGCATATGCCAGTGGCAGGTGAGTCTGAAGCCAAAACTGAGCTTGGCTAGAGCCTGAAGTGTACATCAATTCATTTCCACTCACACAAAAGCACATCTCACTCATCCTCCCATTCTCTCTCTTTCTCTCTGACTCTCACATTCAAAAAACATGGGTACACACACTGCCAAAAAAGAATCCATTCACTGTAGCGCTTCCTCCCCTGTGTTAAGTAAACATCCCTCTAAATATAAATGACACAACTCATACCTGTCCCAAGATTCTGGTAAGTGAGATTATTTCTTTCTGACATCATATCATTTGCCAGAAGGAGCAGACGGTCAGGCTGAGCCCTGTAAATATTGACACCTGTAAATAAAACAAAGAGTGTTACTTTAATAAACCAATCATCGTAATGGTCACAAATGCTTTGAAAACATAAACTGATTTACTTGTTGAAGCATTATACCTGCCATTTGAAACTAAGCAGATCTGCAGCACAACTGATAAGCGTAAAATCCAAAAACAAATTACAAATAAAAAATCTGAATAAGACAGAAACAGAAGCTGGGAGTGGGCTGGGGGCAGAACATAAAGAAAGAGGCCCCAAAGCAACAGTCAAATCAAGAAAAAGATTAGCTCTGTGGGGTCAAAGGATAAACACACGCCCTGGATAGACATTTCACTGATATGTGTCAAAGATTTTAACATTCAAACAATGTCCTCCAAAGTTCCCCATTCTCTCCAATCTGCATTCGGAGGACACATATGTGTCACCAGTCACATTCATGATGATAGAAAGAGTCAATCCACATAGTCATTCCTCTTGCATATGCTGTTTGGTCCCTTTCAGTGACATAAATGGAGGGGCTCTGACCTGGGGCTCTTAGAAGCTGTCAGCATGTGACAGTGGCCACACCCAAGCTGGAGCCAAACCAACTGCTGTGCTTTCCTTTGGACCACATCAGTGAGTCCGAGAGGAGGGGGTCCTGTCATTTGGGCAGCCCAGGACTTCCATACACAGGTCTGTGCATCCAGGGAGGTCACTTTGGTGCTGCTAACATAGCAGTTTGACTTCACCCCCAGAAGCACCCTGCATTGTCTCTAGAGACAGGTGGATGCCAACAATGCTTTCTACTCAGTTATACCAGGGGTGGGGAACCTCAGGCTGAGGGGCCAAAAGCAGCCCTCCAAGGTCTTTCTCTCTCACACACCCTTGAAATTCTTCTCAGGCCACATTCCTACTTCCAGACCAGAACTAGCTCTGTTTTCCACTGAATTGTTTTTGTCTGGTAGAAATGTGTCCTTGAACTATGATAATACTTGCCTGGATGGAGGCTAGAGAGGGGTGTGCAACCTCTTTTTTAAAAAAACAAACAAAAAACAAAACTTCCTTGGAGATTTTTAAGCAGAGGTTGGATGGTCAACTGTCATGGATGCTTTAGTTGAGATTCCTGGACTAGATGACTTTTGGATCCCTTCCAACTCTAAGATTCTATGACCCTATGTTTTGCAGAAACTAGGCAACTGTAGAAAGGTAAAAGTTGTTTGCACTGCTCTGCTCCCTTTTTCCTCTGGCCCTCCTACGCTTGGCATGTGGACCTCGGGTGACTGAAGAAGAGTTTGGATTTGATATCCCGCTTTATCACTACCCTAAGGAGTCTCAAAGTGGCTAACATTCTCCTTTCCCTTCCTCCACCACAACAAACACTGTGAGGTGAATGAGGCTGAGAGACTTCAGAGAAGTGTGACTAGCCCAAGGTCACCCAGCAGGTGCATGTGGAGGAGCGGGGAAGCGAACCCGGTTCACCAGATTACGAGTCCACTGCTCTTAACCACTACACCACACTGGCTCCAAAAGGGAATGTGGTTCTCAGACACAACTCATGTAGCTACTGCCTAAGCATGGTTTCCACCAAAGATCATTAAGTGATCTCTTTTTTAACATATATTTATTCACGTTTAGTCTGCCCCATCCAAAAGGCACACAGGAGATAAGTTCTTTAAAACTGACACAAATAAGGTAATTTGTACTTCATCATTAAGCAGAAGAGTGGGAAGAAAATATTTAATAAAATCAGAAAGGATCATAATGAGGAAGAGCTCGTTTATTTTCTTCACTGCGTTTCGCTGGCATACCACACACAGGCAAGCTATTTGAGGACATGCATAAAAAATATTTTGATCTCGGCAAGCAGCCTTGTATGCAGGTTCTTAAGACATGGATGTTTGAAGAACATTCAAGAAAGATCAAAGGTGCCGCACAAATATTATTGGTATAAGAAAATGGGAACGAACTTTAATTCCAACGGCTCTGCCTTCACAAACAATCTTCCATCAAAATGAAGCCATGAGCCAAGTTGTCGAAAACACAGTGGGAGAATGATTCACTATTGAAGCGTCTAAGGAAATAATACCAAAAGAAAATAAAATAAAGATTTTTTTAAAATCCAAGCTTACAGTTTCTATTGCCTTCTATGAGCAAAAATAAATAAAAAAAATATTTTAACCCACAAGTGAACAGTAAAGGGTTTAGAAACAAGCTAAAATAAAGCTGATAAACAGCAAGTAACTTTCTGGATAAACCCTGAAGGTTTAACATTTGTTTTTGCTTTTCAAATATATACCTTGGATCCCGAATGCCCTGGAACTCAGACATTTTGGCTCCTGAATGCCACAAACTCGGAAATGATTGTTCAGTTTGTAAACGTTATTTTGGAAGCCGAACGTCTGATGGGGCTTCCGCAGCTTCCGATTGGCTGCAGCCAATCAGAAGTGGCGCTTTGGTTTCCGAACGTTTTGGAAGTCGAACGGACTTCTGGAACTGATTCCGTTTGACTTCCAAGGTACGACTGTATTATGCTTGCTATAGAGAGCTGATAGATGAGAAAAATCTGATAGAAGGTTAATACGGTGATATCTTGGGTTACATACACTTCAGGTTACAGACGCTTCAGGTTACAGACTCCGCTAACCCAGAAATAGTGCTTCAGGTTAAGAACTTTGCTTCAGGATGAGAACAGAAATTGTGCTCCGGCGGCACGGCAGCAGCAGGAGGCCCCATTAGTTAAAGTGGTGCTTCAGGTTAAGAACAGTTTCAGGTTAAGAACATGCCTCCAGAACAAATTAAGATCTTAACCTGAGGTACTACTGTATAGGGAAGTGCCATAACTCAAGATCCCAGATTCATCAGTTTCCTTGTCTGAAACCCTGAATAGCTGCTACAAGTCAGGGTAGACAATGGATTGAGCTGCATGGACTGAAGGCCTAGCTCTCTGTAAGGTAATATCAAGTTCTTGTGCTCTTATTTAGGAATCTCAAAATGTGGCATGCAAAAATAGGGAGTTTAGGGTCAGACAAGTAAGCCAATGAGGCCCAATGGAACTGTTTCCAGTATGAAAGCTTCAGTGGAACACTCTCCACCCGCTAAAAAAAGGGGGGTGGATCACTGAGCACTAGAAATGAATGGACCCATTAAAGTCCAGTGTGCCTCTTCCTGCTTCTGTGCAGATTTCTAATGGCATATGCTTAAAATACGTAGGGAAACACAAAAGCAAAATTTGTTTTTTTAAAATAAAATAAATATACATAAGGTGGCCAAAGGGCTGCAGTGGTGCCCCCCCTCTCTCTACCTTTTTGAAAAGGTATTTCAAAATACCTTCAGCTAAGTTTTTTCTTAAGAGTTGACTCACTGAAATCAATGTATCTAACTTAGTCATGTTCATTAATTTCATTGTGTCTACACCGAATAATACTGAATACCACACAATGGCCAACTTGGAGAGTTCCTTCCACCTTCCACACTTCCACTTCCCCAGAGTGACAGGACTTGATAATGTGTCATTGCTCTTAGGCAGAAATGTCCCCCCATCACTCCTGTGGTCTTCAAGTATCCAAAGACAACAATAATATGTCCTCTCAGTCTTCTCTTAGCCCACTAAACGTACCCAACTCTCTCAACCGTTCCTCATAAGGCTTAGTTTCCAAACCCTTGATCATCTTGGTCACCCTCTTCTGAACACATTCCAGCTTGTCAATAGATTTGTGGAACATTTTATTATCCTTTGTTTTGTTTTGTTTTAGCTCCTGCTGGTAACATTTTCTGTTTAAATCATTTCATGTGTTACTCTTGAAACATTTTATTATGAAAAAAATAAAGAAATATTGCTGAAAACAGGCAAGATATCAAATGTTACTCATCCCTCTGTTAAAAATGCAGGATGTTATTTTGTATAGCATTTATTGTTGGATATTTCTCCAAATGGGGCCCTCTAAAAATCAAATGCAGAAAACTCCATACAACGGTTTTATTATTTGTACTCTCTTGCCATTTTGTATCAGTGTTTCCTCTGACTGACAAGGTTCTCTCCACAAAATGCTGTTTTTTAAAAATTTAAAACTTCTGCACCAGTTTACCTCACAGCATTTGACAGCTTTCAACCCTAACATTTTCATCTGAGAGGGAAAAGGACAATCATCATTATATTTGGACAAGTATGCTAACATGCTGAGTAAACCAAAATCATTCCAATCACATAATAAATTAACTGTTCATGAGATCCAAAAAAAAAGAAGAAGAAGAAGACTTAATCTGTCCTGTCTAAAAATCGGAAGGTAAATGTACAATGTAGAAAATCTGTGAAGTAGTTTAGCCTCACTAAGAATTTGTCTGAAAGAAAAAGCAGCCTCTTAGGGCACATTTCGAACTCCGGACAAGTGGCAGCAGGACTTAGCAGCCCATCAACTCACACAGGCCAGGGGCAGGCAAATTGATGCACCATTCCAGAGCAGGCTCAGAAACCGTACCCAGGACTATGCAGTCATATGATCCTGGACCAACACAGTCTCTCTCTGCCTGGGAATGCCCTCTGTCAGGGCCCTCTGTCAGCAGCAGCTGTTTCATGAATGCCAAGGACTGCCCTGGATTAATGTTAACTCCTTTATTTTGTGAAACTGATTATACAGCAGCCCTAGCAAAATGCACTAATACAGACCTTACTTGTGCTTCAGTCCTAGTTTGACTTCCCATGCCGTGCCGTATAAGAAACTGCCTGTCTGTTCAGGACCACATTTCACCACATCTGTGAGATGCCACCCACGACACTTCTACCTGTGGCAGCAATGCAGAATAGGGAGCTCCGCACAAACAAAGAGTCACAGGCAGACGCCAACGGGAGTGTAAAGCCAGGTCTGGATTGCAGTATCAGATCAACACTAGATTTAACCTTAATTTAAAATCTCATTAAATGTTTGTTGTTGTTGTTTAGTTGTTTAGTGTTTAGTCGTGTCCAACTCTTCATGACCCCATGGACCAGAGCATGCCGGGCACTCCTGTCTTCCACTGCCTCCCGCAATTTGGTCAAACTCATGTTTGTAGCTTCAAGAACACTGCCCAACCATCTCTGTCGTCCCCTTCTCCTTGTGCCCTCCATCTTTCCCAACATCAGGGTCTTTTCCAGGGAGTCTTCTCATGAGGAGGCTAAAGTACTGGAGCCTCAACTTCAGGATCTGTCCTTCCAATGAGCACTTAGAGCTGATTTCCTTAAGAATGAATAGGTTTGATCTTCTTGCAGTCCATGGGACTCTCAAGAGTCTCCTCCAGCACCATAATTCAAGGTTTAGCTATGCTAAATTAAAGGTTTAGCTACGCTTAAAATATTTTAAACAAGTTAAATCCATATTTTCTCTCCTCAGCTTCCCCACTCTTCACACCTGTGAGTACAGTAACAGCACTCTGAGGACAAAACTAACATAACTCGACCCATTTCCTTCGTGCACTGAAAGGAAAGGAATTGTTGGGAAAGAAAGGGTTTCGTTACAAATACTTCGCAGAATGAGAGAAAGATAACATCGATTAATCAAAATTAAAACTTTAAAATTCACATTATTACTAGCATCATAGGATCAGAGGTTCAGTGTTGGGCAAGTGGAATTAGTTCTGTTTGTGAAAGGAGAATGTTCCCCATTACCTATTTCTGTTGAAGCACCCCCATAACATAATGTCATTCTGTTCAGAAGATTCCCCCAACCCTGTTTCATGTTTTCAGGGTACACAGAGAAATGCGTAGAGTCTGTTAACAGAGCCCTGTTAGGTCCATGGAAAGGAATTCAGGATCCAAGCCATTAAGTTGTACTCTTAATTCATATATATGTACTGAAAGTGATATGTAGCTGTGAAGTTATTTTCTTTCAAGAGTAGGAGATGCAGTCAAGAGGGAATGGACAACAATTTGGTTGGAGGAAGCAAGCAGCAACAAATCATGTTGAAGGGCCTTCTTTGCTTTTTCTTTTAGATCTTGGACTCAAAAATTACAACACAAAAAAACCCTTCCTCAATGAGAAACTTTTTTTTTTTTTAAAGAATATTTATTCCAATTTTAAAGTTACAGAAAAAATATAGAAAAGAAAAAACACAAACCACATACATCTTACAAAAAAACAGACAATAAAAAAGAAATAAAAAAGACAAAAAATCACAGTTGAAAATAACAAAAATCAAATTAGACCATTACAACCATTTTCCCATTTACTTGTTTCCATGACTTCCTCTCACCTCCCTGCTTTGTATTCTAGTTTAAATCGTATCTCCAGCAAATCCTTCTAACCTTCTTTTCTTTTACTTATTTTAACATTCGAAAGTAACCTCAATGAGAAACTAAACATTTCATAACAGGGATGGTAAAGTATGACCCTCCTGATGTTGTTGAACAGCTCCTCCCATCTCTGACTGTTGGCCATGCTGGCTGGGGCTGATGGGATTTAGAGTCCAACAACTTCTGCAGGGCTGAAAGTTTTCCCTCCCTGCTTTATAAAACAGAACTTAAGGGAGATGAACTTCTCTGTGAAAATAACAGTTGTGTCAATGCAGGTCTATTTACTGCCCCTCCTTGAATCGTGGTGTATTTGATACCGTATTCTGCAAAACTTTTAGTTCATTAAACTTCTTTTTCTTAGGAACCTTAAAGGTAAAGGTACCCCTGCCCGTACGGGCCAGTCTTGCCAGACTCTAGGGTTGTGCGCTCATCTCACTCTATAGGCCGGGAGCCAGCGCTGTCCGCAGACACTTCCGGGTCACGTGGCCAGCGTGACAAGCTGCATCTGGTGAGCCAGCGCAGCACACGGAACGCCGTTTACCTTCCCGCTGGTAAGCAGTCCCTATTTATCTACTTGCACCCGGAGGTGCTTTCGAACTGCTAGGTTGGCAGAATATGGGACCGAACGACGGGAGCGCACCCCGCTGCGGGGATTCGAACCGCCGACCATGCGATCGGCAAGTCCTAGGCGCTGAGGTTTTACCCACAGCGCCACCCACGTTCCTAAGGAACCTTATCTTCACTTAATAAGCAAAATGTGGCATATTCACATCCGAACAGCAGAAAGCCAAATTTTATACCTTAGAAGCAAAGAACATAATAAATGCAACTGTGATGCCAGAAAGAGCTGACGATGATAGAAAGGCCAAAAATTCCCCATATGGCACACATCTGAACATTTCACAAGTCTAATTGCAATATGCATTTCTGCCTCCCAAAATGAATTTTATGATCACAGAAACGTCACGCAAGGTTTTCACATATTTACCATCAAAATCAAATCATGCGATCAGAATGATAACGCAGAACAAAGGTCCCGTTTCTAAAGTTGTGGGGTAAAGGTGAGAGTCCCAAATTTGCAACTACAAAATCTGTAATCTGATTCAGGACTACCGATTTGTGGCATCTGTTCTACAGATCACTTACTAAGAGGCTGTGTTTTGACACATTCGACAGCTACTAAGTTCTGAAATCCTGAACTAAGAGAGAATTTGGCAGTGAGAGAGTTTATCCAGCAATATGTATTTCAGCAAAAAAAGAAGAAGAAGAAGAAGAAAAACCTTGGTGATCCAGATGTTTCAGATTAACCCTTCCCCCAGAGAAGTACACTTACAACATTGTCAGAGCCATTTAAAAAGTCAAAGCAATGCATCAAATCTGTGTGGATCCTGTTTTATGCATTTCTCTCATGGCCAAACAATTTATTATTAAAACACTGCATTTTTTTTCTTAATTGTCCCAATACCGTTATTCTTTTCAAAACCATTCCAGGTGAAAATAAAGCTGTTTGAGACACACAAACATCTGAAAGCTACTATTACCATTTAAGGTCTTATTCTACTTTGGAAGATGGAGGGCAGATCCTGTGGCTGAAGGGACTTTCTGAGGGAGTCTGAGGAACTGAGGCAAACAGCAGCCACATCACAGATTTAAAAGGAACAAATCGCAGGGTCCAGATGGCATCCACCCAACATCTCTTAAAGAACTTAAATATGTGATTGCTGCTCTTTTTAAAAAAGAAACAAAAACAATTCCCGACCCCCTGTAACTGGTCCCTAAGAGTGGTTTCTTTATCTGAGCACCAGGAAGTGTTCAATGTAACACCAATTTTAAATAAGGGATTCAGGGAGGATATGGGAAATTATCTTAACTTAATGTTAATGTTAATGTTAATGTTAACTTAATCTTAACTTAATGTATGTTCTAGGAACACTGGTAGGAAAGCACATAGAAGAAGAAATATTGAGAGCCAGTGTGGTGTAGTGGTTAAGAGCGGTAGTCTTGTAATCTGGGGAACCGGGTTCGCGTCTCCGCTCCTCCACATGCAGCTGCTGGGTGACTGTGGGCTAGTCACGCTTCTTTGAAGTCTCTCAGCCCCACTCACCTCACAGAGTGTTTGTTGTGGGGGAGGAAGGGAAAGGAGAATGTTAGCCACTTTGAGACTCCTTAAAGGGAGTGAAAGGCGGGATATCAAATCCAAACTCTTCTTCTTCTTCTTCTATGAAGAGCCAGCATGGCCTCCAAAAATTTGTCATTTCTAACTAACCTCTTAGAGCTAGCTTTTTCAGTAAGCATGTGGATGAAGTTATCTGGACTTTCAAAAAGCTTTTGGTACAGTACGACACCAAAGACTGCTAGAGCAGTCATGATATAAGGAGGCAGAAGAAGAAATGAACTGTTCTCACAATGGAAATATTAACAAAAAACCAAAAACCAGAGTCCCCCCAGAATCAGGACTGGGATCTGTGCTTTTTAACTTGTTCATAAAATGACCTGGAGTCAGAAGTAAGCTGGCCAAGTTTGCTGATTATACCACATTATTTGAGGTGGTTAAAGGAGGGTTGGGTCATGGGGAGTTTCCGAAGGATGTATCCAAACTGCATTAAGGTGTATGAAAATGGCAAACTCAATGAAAGAAGTGTCAAGTAATACACATTGGGGTAAAAATTTCTAATTTCACATACAGTGGTACCTCTACTTACGAACGTGATCTGTTTCGGGGTGCCATTCGCACCCCAAAAAGTCTATAAGTAGAGTGCTGCTATTGCGCATGCGCAAAGCGCGATAGAGTGCTTCTGCGCATGAGCAAAGCGTGCAGATCACTTCTATGCGAGCGGCGAACCCAGAAGTAAACACTTCCAGGTTTGCCATGTTCGTAACCTGAAAAGCCGCAATGTGAAGCAAATGTAACCCGAGGTATGGCTATATATGTTCTTGGGGCCTGAACTGGCAGTGGCTGACCACAAATGAGATTTTAGGGCCAACGATGGATAGTTTGATTAAAGTGTTGACCCACTGGGAAGCTGCTATGAAAATGGAGATTTCCATGTCATGGATCATTAGGAAAGGAATTGAAAATAAATAAAACTGCCATTGCCATAATGCCATTATACAAATATATGCTGTGAGAACACTTGGAATACTGCACCTCAAAGAGGGTATTGTAGAGATGGGAAAGGGGCAGGAAAGGGCATCCAAAATCATCAGCAGCACCATCACTTTTAATTTGAATTCCGTCTTTCTATTTTTACAATACCTAAGGCAGTTTACAAGCTGAAGAAACAAAGAATGTACACCTTATAACAATCTAATCCAATAGAGAAATGTGATAATAAAACATAACTTTAAAATAAGCAACTTATATCAAATGAAGTAATATTCAACAATGAACAATGCCCTACAGCAACTCAAGCAGTGAGGTGAGGTGACATTAAAAAACCTGGAGCTTTTCAGTTTAGAGAAAAGGCAAGTAAGGGGGGGCATGTACAGCTATATATAATCAGGCATGGTGTAGAGAAGGTGGATAGAAAGACATTTCTCTTCTTCTCTCACTAGACTAGAAATTGGTATCATCCAATGAACCTGAATATTCATTGAGGTTGTATTTCGGTAACATCTGGGGTATATGTATTAATGAAGTAAGATGATATTGGTGTCTGTCAGACTGTTGCATGTTAAACTTTCTGGTAGGGGTTAGTGTCACAGAAGAGTTATAGAAAGAACCTGACATATAAACCACAATTTACCACTGGGAAGTACTGCCCTTGTAACACTACAAATGTGGGAAAAGACTGGCAGAGGAAGCTCTTATGACTTTTTCTTTTCCTCAGAGGAAATCATGTGGAACATTGCAAGAGCAGCATCTTTTAACAAACGGGTAGTATTACAGTAGTTTGCTAGATGATCTACACTTCTGGTGACCACATCTATTGAAAAAATATTTTTTTAAGGCTGTCTTCAGGATGTACATAGGTAGGATACACACGTACAGATGAGAAAAGTTTTGCTGGCTTGAAACAAAACCCAACCAATTCTACATTGAAAGGAAGGGTATCGTTGTTTGGTTTGGTTTACAGTCATCATCAGATAGCTCTGATGTTAAGTCTGTTTAGAAATCTACTATTAGTATTCTTGGGAGAAAAATCAGAAGTTCCACAGCTGAGGTTAGTGCTCACATTCTCCTTTTCAAGAAGCTCATACACCTGAAATGCAAAGTCCATACAGTCTGATTTATCATTGTTATGCTTACTTGCAAATAAGTTGTGCTGCATTTCATGCAGATCATTTGTGGAAGTAAGCCTCCCTCTATTTAATGGAAAGATTTGATTTGATTTTAATTAAGGTAGTTATAGGACATTTTCAATCCCAGGGCAGTTTATACAAGAGTAATATATAATCCCAGCTCCAATAAAATGTATCTCACTTGGATGAGTGTTTAAAATTGTAGCCTATATCCAACACTTTATTGAAGGGTATGGGTGTGATGAGATGAATTGATTTTTATTTTATTTTCAACAGAGAAACTGAGGGATACGACCTTCCTCAGCTTGGCGGCCACATTCCCTTCTAGGGCCAAATGCCAGCAGCAGGTGACAAATGCAGCTGAGCAACTGTTGCAGATTTTACCTTTGTACAGGAGACCGAGTTTCACACACCCCTCTCTGTTCTCCATTTAGAGAATCACAGTGTTTTTATCAGAATTCAAGAACACATTCCAACCAGGCAAAACCAGGACACAAAGCAGGACCAATAGGGGATGTGGCCTGGGGAGGATTCCAAGGGCCAGATAAGAGAGGCTTGGTGGCCCTGAGGCTCTCCACCCCTGCGTTAGTGGGCTTCCACCTACCAGCCACTGCTGAGCTGGAATTCATTTGCAGACCTGACACCTATCAAATAGGGAGTGAAGAGAGCCTGAGAGCAGATAGCTCCCTCCAGAAGGGAATTCTTCCTTATCCAGTGTTTATGTCAATGACTCATCTTGTTTTGAAGGTTCCTTACAAGTCGAGAAGGCTTCCTACTCATTTGCCATTTCCCCTTTTCGCATCACCTTGTTTGCATTTGACTGTCAATTGCAACAGGACACACCTATCGTTTGCATAACATCCTTCACCCACTGACTATCATCTGTCTAAATCTATGCATATATGTTTATGCTAACTAAGGACAATACTTCATACATATGAGTGTGTCGCAAAGCAAATGTGCTAGTCTTTCACTTTGCTGGTTTTGTAGGCAAAGCTGTAGATCTCATGGGTGCATGAAGATGAATGGGAGCTTCCAACAGAAACGAAACAAATGAATTCAAGATTGTATAAGCCAATCAACCTAGATTTTATATTCTCATTTTGTTCTTTTTCTCCTGGTTTTCAGATGGAATCCTTCCCAGCCTTACCAGGATATTCTGAAGAACCTGGCATCTTCTGCAAGCAAAGCCGATGCACTACCACTGAGCCACAGTGCTGGGACCTCATTTAAAAGGTTAATAATCTCGGAGGAGGGGAGGCTTAAAAACCATACACTCTGACCATATGGCAAGGAAATCATTTCATTTCGAGTGAAATTTAGAACAATGACCTTTCAGTCCAAGAAACCTCAAACCTCAATGAGTGGACCCTGTCCCCGTGCAATGAACATTACAAAAGTGTTGTTTTTGGCTTAAGGCAAACTAACTCTGGATGCTGGGAAGCAGACGGAACTGTATTAAAGCTGTCCAGAAGCAGGATTAAGATTCCTGATCCCTGAAAGAACACATGAAGTACCAGAGAGTAGTATATATCACCATTCCTGTCACTGCAGGATCCTCAGAAAAGAGACAACCGGCACTCACATGCAGTTTTGTATTTACTTCACTGGCACAACAATGGAAATAAAACATACAGGAAGAATAAGAGCATAACAAAATGCATTTGGGGCTTTTAATTGCTCTTGCAGGGACCGAGCAATGGGAGCTCACCCCGCTGCAGGGATTTGAACCGCTGACCTTCTGATCGGCAAGCCCTAGGCTCTGTGGTTTAACACACAGTGCCACCCGTGTCCCAATAGTTATCTATACTTGGATCCAACTACCACCTCCTCTTCGTTTTTCTCTCCCTAATGTCATATGCTGACAATGTATTTGAGGTAACAACTAGAACATGTTTGACTGCTTCATAGTTCCATATGGTCAAAGCATTTTAATAAGAGCAAGAACTACAGCATCAGTGTTGCCAAATGTGAAGTAAACCTCATCAGCGATGGAAGTGGCAAGCAGCAGTTAACATAACATACTGTAATTATTAAGGTACTTATTCAAGAATGTCTGAGTGCTACAGAATGTTAATAAGACAATCCCAGAACAAACTGCTCTTAGTAGGCAGTAGCCATATATTTCTATAAAATAGTTTCTCTTCAGTTTTCAAACTCACACCCATTTTCTAAAACTGAAGAACATTTATTCTTATTAATCATGACTTGTATTCCGTCCTATCTCAGAGGCTTAGAGCACATCTAAAACGAGCACACAGGTATTATCTACCAAGCATATAAAGCTTTAAGGTAAATTCCACCACTACAAATAGTTCCAGTGATATAAGCCAACTCAAATAATAAGGTCCTCCTACAGTGCTTACAGTATCTAGAAGGTAAGGTAAAGGTAAAGGACTCCTGGATGGTTAAGTGCAGTCAAAGGCGACTATAGGGTTGCGGCACTCATCTCACTTTCAGGTCAAGGGAGCCGGCATTTGTCCACAGACAGCTTTCTGGGTCATGTGGCCAGCATGACTAAACAACTTCTGGTGCAACGGAACACCATGACAGAAACCAGAGTGCATGGGAACGCCGTTTACCTTTCCCGCCACAGTGGGACCTATTTATCTACTTGCACTCGCATGCTTTCAAACTGCTAGGTTGGCAGGAGCTGGGACAGAGCAATGGGAGCTCACTCCATTGCGGGGATTCGAACCGCCAACCTTCTGATCTGCAAGTCCAAGAGGTTCAGTGGTTTAGGCCACAGCGCCACCCATGTCCCATTCATCTAGAAGGATAGCTGTGTTAGGTCACATCTTTGCCATACGTTAAATGAGTAAATAAAATCCCCAGTGCCACCACCTCTGTATTGTATGGCTTCAGATCCAAGGTCATAATTTGACCTTGACCCCAGACAGTGATTCAGAAGAGAGGTTTCTGCCCCTAGAGCAGTGGAGAATGAGATGAGTGGTATTACCACACTTTACTCTGAACCTTTGGCTGCTTGCTATCTTTCAACAAACAGAGCTGGTAACAACAAGTGCAGATATGATCACTAAAGAATCCCACAGGTTATCAACCAGGAAACTCACACATGCATTCAAGGATAACCCCTGTGTGCTCACAAAATAAAGATTATGGTTTATCAATATCTGGACATCCATAGTGTGAGATGGTCCAGAGTGGTCAGAAACTTCCTAACTTGATCTCAAAACAACTGAAGCAATCTGTGTTCCAAAGCTAGAAGCAGGATTGAAAAAAGGACAAGGCAGAATGCCTAGATGCCTAGAACTGTACGCCAACTACTTGCTGTAATGATTTCCCCAATTTTCCCACAAAGGAGGAGGCAGAATGAAAAAGAGCTTTTTGACATAAAGTAAATATTTCTAACACAGTAGCCAAATGAACCCTGTGTTCAGCAGTTGCAAACTTCCATTCTCTTCATGAACTAAAAATCACTCTTGTTATAAGAGGTCCAGCCTTTCCCATGTATTTTAACCACCCAGGAAGGGCAAGCATTTAGTATGGATACTCCCTCTTACCAAGCAATCTGTCAAGGGGGAAACAAACTGAAAATAATCCCAGGACTTTGGTTCAAATATGTTATCAACATCAGATTGGAGATTAGCGAATTTTATCTGTAAAGTGCCTTCCAAATCTGTTGCAGAAATGACAGATAATTTGACACCCAGGTGGGAAGAAAGAAGTCCACGCAGTACATGCCAAAGTAATATTATCAATCTCTTTATTACAGCCAATGACTGAAGTATGATACTATGCAATGGTGGTGATGAAGATCGTTCCACTGTCATCACATGGTCTTTCTAAAGAACTTTATGCCAAATTGGGTAGAAGTCTTCTGCAACCTTAGCTTTTGGCATTTATTTTGTACTTCAGGGCTTCCATATACCATAGGAAGATCCACTGCTGTTTCAGTGGGAGGAGATAAGAGTCCATAGCTCCCTTGCTTCAGAGATAATACAAGTCAACATACCTTCCACCCCAGTGGGAGGACAAAACCTTAAAAGATTTCTGGAAACCTGAAACCAAAGTGTGGCTTCTGATTGGCTGCAAGAAGCTCCTGCAGCCAATCGGAAGCCGTGGAAGCCCCATCAGACGTTCGGCTTCCAAAAATAGTTTGCAAACCGAAACAGTCACTTCTGGGTTTGCGACGTTCAGGAGTCAAAACGTTTGAGAACTAAGCTGTTCGAAAACCAAGATATGACTGTATATCACTTCAATAGAGGTTTAGAGCTGCAACATCTGAATCTTTATGGGTTCTATATTACCTTCCATATTACCTTTTTCAATTTCAGGCAACCTGTTCCTAGGTTAGAATTCCCAGTGAAAATATGCATAAGTTCCTAAGTGTTCTCACCAAGTGCATTTTTCATTCTCATTAGATTTCCTTGAATCTCCCAAACCTCACACTGAGCTGTGAAAAGACCTTTGCCAACAGCAGACATTGCCCTTCTTTGTAAGGTCAGTGATCCCTTTGCCTTTTTCTAAAGTTAAATCAATTTTTAAAGCAATGCAAGCTGAATATGCTTTCTTTCCCCCTTGATTTTTGAGTGACATTGTCATAAATGCATTAGGCTGCACTATACAGAGGCCAACCACCACCAAGAGGTTTCATTCCACAGTGGTTTTGTGGGTCAGGGAATCGCAGAAAACCAGTCAAACTAAACTATATAGGAGCCTTATCAAGGGCAAACAAGATCTCTTATCAAACAGAGGATGCATCAGTGCAAACTAATTAGAATTAATTATGTCTCATAATTATCAAGAAGGAAGAAGTATAGCAAAGGAAGTTGAAAGCATGCAAACATTAAGTCTATTTCACAGGTTGAAAGCCTGCAAATGTATCTTTGTTTCAGCAGACTGTTGAGGCTTAAAGGAATAGGGGATCCTATGCTAAACCAATGAGTCTGCCACCCATTATTTTATCCCTGCTGGTCCTGGAATATAAATTCAGATTCACACAGCCTCCTTTCCTTCTGCTCAGACTCTGAAATTGTCTATAATATAGACAACATTCTACCCCTCTAATTGGAAAAGCTATTCATACCTTGACGTTTTTCCTAACTTGAAAACATTTATTCAGTTCCCTAATTTTATGAAGAAGCAACTGCTGTATTATGAGCTTTAGAATATTCTGAGGTGCAAGCACAGTCTTAACCTCCCATGTAGCTAATCATCATAAGAACCAGAATCTTGATGGTGGCGCTACACTGTAACTTACTTCCCATAATAGTCAACCAGTCCCAACCAGTTCTCTCATGTCAGTAAATGATAATGTTTGAATTCCAAGGTCTACTCATTGAAGGTGACGCACTTCACCGAATCCATCACCTGCAGAAGACTGCTACTAGAGTATAACTTAAGGGAAGTTACTGCTTACATCTGTACAACCTATGCACATAGCCTTTATGTTCTGTAAAGAATTTAGCCGTCTTTCTTGTCTTCACAATAGCTTTGAAGTGGGTTTCCATTATTTCTGCTTAAAAGATGATCAGAGATTTACCACACACTACGGCAACTTTGGATGATACTAGAAGTGCTAACTAGCAAGTGAATGAACTCTCTGTGCTCACATTCTCTGTACAGTACTTGCACAGAGATGTGCGAGCTTGACCTCCAATTTTGCACAAGTTGCAGTGGAAGAGCAAAAATGCCAGTGCAAGGAACCTGTGCACTCACTTAAGGCAGAGATGGGGACACAGCTCTCCCCCTCCCAGAACATTGGCTATGCTACCTGGAGTCCAACAACATCCAGTGGGCCAGAGGTTCCCCATGCCTGACATAAGGGTAGCACTGACTGTATTATCCAAAGACATTCTGTGTTTTTGACGCAACTGAGACTTAAACTCCAGTCCAGAAGATCACAGTTCAGCAACCTATGCCAGGCAGAGCCAACACGTTGTTCTCCAGGTGTTGAACTTCAGCTCCCATCATTCCTGGCCATTCACCCCATACTGGCTGGGCCTGATGGGAGATAGAATCCAGTAACATTGGAAAGACCTTATGTTGGCTACCATTCAGTCTATGTACTGGACCAAACTGCGGTGAAGGGGCTATCCAACTCTTGACCACCCTGATTGTGAGTTCAGCATGTTACACTTTGATCACAAAAATGACAGAGTCTAGTGACATCTTAGAGAAAACTTGATTCAGCATTCCATAAGCATCTCAGGGTAAATTATCCTACAGATTTAAAATACGTAAACAGTCTACCATGACTAGCACTTTGTGTGTCTGACGAGTCCACAAAAGCTTATGCCACAATAAATCTGTTAGTCTTTAAGACACCACAAGACGTCTCTCTCTCTCTCTCTTTGTGTGTGTGTGTTTGCTGTAACAGACAAACACAGCTATCATTTTCCAGGCTCAAGTTCTGGATTATGTGATCTGAAGCACATGTTTCAACTTCTGTCCTGTGCTCTCCTGACAACAACCAATGAACTTTGCTTGAATAAGAGCAGTAAAATCACATCTTAATTTGCTTATAAAAACTCTATGCAAAACTGAGGAGAGCATCACCAAACAGATCCTATTTGTGAATGCACAGATGAAGTCTTTGGGCTTATGAAGAGAAAGAGAGAGAGAACAGAACACAAAAAGCTTCCTTTAAGAGACATTTTTAAAGGGTAACAATCATCTGGGATAACATACAAAAGAGGGAAACCCTACAGGAGGAAATAGCAAGTGGGTGAGAGGAAACTGCCTAGCTGTGTTTGTACAAAGTCTCTTTCAAGGCAAGCACTAATCCTTCAGCTACAGCGGGTTCCTAACCAAAGCTCTGCTGAATGATTCTCAGCGGAAGGGAACAGTTTACATTAAGTCAACAGTGCCCTGGACTTTCAAAAAAACAAAACAAATGCTGTGCTGTCCCCGTTTCTTCTCAGCAGAGGCTTTTAGCCTAATCTAAGCAAGCCCATTAGCAGAAATTTGTAGAAGTTGAAAAACAAACGCGCCACAGTTTGCAAAAGCAAAAAGCCCAGCAAGATTAAAATGCATGCAAAGCGACCAGTAAATCTTCCCCCATGAAAGACAAAACAAATCTGTCTGCCACGGAGCATAAAAGAGCAGGGAGTCCTGGTGCGCAACAGAGACAGGTTTTGGGTTGTTAAGTAGGTGCCTTTTCCGGAGATGCCCTCCAAAATTCATTCCCTCCAAAAACAAAACTTCAGGGCAAAGTTTACAATCCTCTCCTGGGTTTTGTTTAGCTTCCGGACGGAGAGACGGACTTGCCTTTCTCAGGCAGCGCTCCCTGCCCGGCACACAAGCTGCCTGCTGCGCGCTTTCTGCGCTCCTTCTCCCCGCACGTTGCGCGCTCGGGCGCGCAGATACCCAAACGCGCGCGGGACAAAAGCAGTTGCTCCAGGCAGCGCCTCACTCACCTCCTGGCGCTGCTGCCTTTTGTGCATCCTTCGCTTTCCCCAGCCACTCCGGAGACTCCCATCGCGGGCGTCTTACCAAGAGAGACACCCCCCCTCCCGCCTCCTTCCTCAGCCCGACAGGATCCTCCTCCTCCTCCTGCTGCTGCTCCTATTCCTCCCCGCGCAGCCGAAGCCAGTCCCGCCCATTAGGGTATCCAAGCTCCAGCCAAAGAGCGCCGCCACACAAACTCACACCCCCCCTCCCGGCTACAATGGTTCGTTCCCTCCGGGATAACAGGGAGCGGGAAGGCTCGAAAGAGGAGGGGTGCGAGGGACGCGCGCAGAGTCAGGAAGAAAGAGGATTTTTCCGAGCACAGGAAAGCTAATGAGCTGGGAGAAAGGGGGAAAGGAGTGGGGGGGAGGATACTTCCAAATACTTCGCTCTGCATCTGATTGCACTTTGCCCCCCGAAGGTTTAGGGCCAGTGGCTGTCTCTCAGCCTATCCTACCTGGCAGGGTTGTTGGGAGGATAAAACGGAGAGGGAACAACCACCTGCACTACCTTGAGCTCCTTGGAGAAAAGTTGGAATAAAGATGTAATACGAATAATAAACTGCATTGCTGGTCACACTTACTTAGGAAGGAGGCCGTTGAAGTCAGTGGGATTTTCTTCTGAGTGGACATTTATTGGCTGCGCTTGTAAATCCGTTATGTCTTTACAAGGCTCCGTTTGGAGAAGAAATTCAGGTGCGCCTTCTAGAATCCAGTTCTGGAGATGAAAGCTTGTCTTTGGGGAACAAGGTGAAATCCTCCCTTGAGGCTCTTGGGAAGTAGATTTCAGTGGCTGCCAATGCTGCAGTGACACCCACTTTAGGGCAGGATGGGGGCAGAAAGCCAAGGTGCCACTCAGCATGGCAGGGGGTTAGACTAGATGACCCTTGGGGTCCCTTCCAACTCTGCAATTCAATGAAAGCAAGATGAGCAGGAAGGCACCCAAAAGCAGCAGGGCTGGATTGTCACTTTTTTTAAAAAATAAGGGTTGGATCCAGACCTATTCATACTTGGAGTAGCCCAATTAAAATCAGTGGGGCTTAAATTAGTGGGGTTTACTTCCAAGAAAGTGTGTCTGCTGTCCTAAGCACACTTAACCTGAACGAGGCTGCAGTTCTAACCCCAATTACCTGGGAGTAAGAATGTCCATTGGCATGGTTAGGCTTGCAGTGTAAATCTGAATCTGACCTATTACCATCTAAAGAGGAAGACCACATAAAAGCATTAGCTCTGGAGTGCAAAGTTATGTCATTGCACTACTGGTGCCACACTTCCTACTCTCTCCCTTGGCGGACTTGTGGGGCGCAAGTTCCTCACTGCTGCTGGAGAGCACATTGCAGATAGAGCCTTTGCAGGCTAAAGTCCTGGATTGCGGCAATACAATTCCCCCTTTCCAGGACTACTCCCCGTGACATCATGCTAGGAGCAATGTGCCTGGAGCGCTTTAGGGGAGCTGGTTGAGAAATCTCTTGTAAAACTTTGCACAGATTTTCTGCAAAAGGGCAGGCTGTCGGGGAACAACAAATAGTTATTCATCATGAGTCAGCTTCCTATCTGTGACATCAGCAAGAAAAATAGGAGGAGAGCCAGAAAGAGGGGAGGGAAGGGAAAGGAGTCTAGTCTCAGAAGACTCCCCCTTCTCCTTCTCCTCCTCCTGTCCAGAGATTGGACTGGAGTCAGACTCGCAGGAAAAGGATGTCTGCAGCCGGACTCTCTCAGGAATCCAGCTGTGTTTATTCTCCCCTCTTGCACAGAGACCTTGAGGACATTTCAGAGGGGGACTGCTTAGCATCCACCCTTTGGACTGCTTAAGCAGCAAGCCTTCAATAGCACTTCCTTAGAAAAAAGATTGGGATAAGTTCGCCTCTTTGAAACTCTTGCTCTCTAAAGGAGCTTCGGAGAGCTATTTTGAATTGCTTGCAAAATGGTTATAGCAACCCCACGAGAAAAAAAAGAGGGTTTGTTTTGGTCATGTGTGATCTTACACAGGAAACGCTGAGGGCCTTTTCTGTTTTGTCATTATTCATTTAGTTGGCCCAGACAATGTTGTGTTGAGTTCAACATAATCCTTTTAAGTCTGTGCCTACATTGGCCAGAGTTTCCTCCATTACTAAGGCAAGAGGTTGCCTGTAGCTCTTGCTTCTGCTCCAGGCTGCTGTTTTATTGCTTTGGGTCCATTCTGCAACCTCTGGCTTTGACAAAATCCCTTTGTTTTCAGAAAAGTACTATTGCCATAGATGCAGCTTTCCTCCCACAAATTGTGCCCAAAGCGACTCACTCACAACATATAAAATGAACAATAGCTTTAAAAAATAGAAACAATTATAAACAATCTTATCAATAAATATAAAATCAATATATAGTTTCAACAGAGGAGAAAATGATACCAATACAAAAGTAGAATTGTTGCACAAAGGCACCACCATGGTCCAGATGATGTATCTGTAGTTTGGATCCAAGACTCCATCTTCAAACATCCATAGATTCCACCCCAACTTTCAGCTAGGGCACTGTAGACATCCCATCCTGGCTCTCACCCAGAAAGTGGTCTTATGCCCACCATTATTGTGCCTCTTGCCCCACATGGTGGCCATCTGGCGTTTTGAACACAGCAACAGCATCAGCTCAAAATGCCTTCTTTGTCAAGGACAACGAATACACTCTCTTCCCTTCCTCTCTCCCCATTTCCCATTCTAGTCCACACACCAACATCTGCCATGCAAGCAATACTCTGATTACTGTTTATCAGAAGCCATTGAGTGCTGCGTGCAAAATGCAGAATCCAGCAAAGAGGTCCAGTAACTGCTGGGAAATTAGGTTTCATTTTCTGGTAAGTGTCTTGTAAATCGTGTCTAGTTGTTAGTTAGTGACTTGTTAATTCAAGATGATATCTCATGTGGCTGCAAAACAACATGGTGTAGCATGGCAGTTTAAAACTAGTCATAAAATTCCTAATGTCTAGACAAAAGTCGAAAGAACCACAGTTATCATAATATTTACTGTAAATTATATAAATAAGATTATAAAAGATCCCTGACATGGAATGTTAACTGGCAAAAGCCCACATATCTTGTTCTTTTATAGCAATTCCACAGAGGCATACCTATTTAATATCCACAAGAACAAAACAAACATTTATTCTTTTTTAAAAAAACAACAACACCTCTAGTATATTTAAAAGTACTGTTGGTATATTGCTGAACAAAAAGAAATACTTTGTCATGCTCTTCTCTACTGCTTTTTTTCATCTTTTTAAAATAAAATAAAACCGATACTCAGAAGGGAATAGGTTTTGGCTATGATGCAAATGTTGGGACGCGGGTGGCGCTGTGGGTAAAACCTCAGTGCCTAGGGCTTGCCGATCGCATGGTCGGTGGTTCAAATCCCCGCGGCGGGGTGAGCTCCCGTCCTTCGGTCCCAGCTCCTGCCCACCTAGCAGTTCAAAAGCACCCTTAAGTGCAAGTAGATAAATAGGTACCACTTTATAGCGGGAAGGTAAACGGCGTTTCCGTGAGCTGCGCTGGTGCTGGCTCGCCAGAGCAGCTTCGTCACGCTGGCCACGTGACCCAGAAGTGTCTCTGGACAGCGCTGGCCCCCGGCCTCTTAAGTGAGATGAGCGCACAACCCTAGAGTCGGACACGACTGGCCCGTACGGGCAGGGGTACCTTTACCTTTATGATGCAAATGTGGGAGACAGGAGTGCCTGGCGTGCTCTGGTCCATGGGGTCACGAAGAGTCGGACACGACTAAACAACAACAACAACAACAACAACAACAACAACATAATGCAAATCCTGAAGCATCAGTATAGTCTTGCCAGCTCTTAGAACCCCAGCAAAGAAACTAGGATAAAATATGCCAGATTATGCACACTCCAAACGTTATCCTGTATAGATGCCACATGTACAAAGGCATGTATAGCTTCACTTGGGCTGCAGCTCAGAGTAAGTCCCATTGAACACAATGCGGCTTACTTCCGAGTTCACATGTATAGGATTCTGATGTTAATACTCTTTGAAAACTCTGTGTGTGTTCCCCCCCACAACTATTTTTAAAATGGCAGATCCATTAGCCAGCTGGCATTTCATCAGCATGGTAGTGATGATGACAGGACAATTGTGCTGAAGCCAAGCATGCCAGTGTCCATTCCATTTGATCCCCCCATCAACACGGTGTCATCATTCCTTGCTTACTTAACACTCTTACTAGTTAGGCAAGGGTCTGATACACTTCACTGTGTTGGGTTTCCCCTTTATTATATTCCTCTCAAGAGATAGTGGACTTCTGTAAATTTCGGGGCTCCTTAAAGCCAGCTGAGACTTCCTCTTAATTCCTAGATGGCGCCGTTTTCTTTACGTAAGGATCCACGTTCAAATTATGAATGTGCTACTAGCTTGTAGGATTTGAGAGAGTTCGATGTGGCTCACATATACTTTCATGGTGTGATGGCTACGACCTGGCAAGGCAAGTGCCAACTTCAATAAAGTTGAGTGAAGCCTTCATGAAGACTGTTTGGATTCTTTGGGGGAAGCTATAACTGTTTAAAGCAGCATAAGAAAAACATTTGCATCTCACTTTCCCTCTACAAATCTCAAGGTAGGAATTTCCTTCCCCATTTTATCCTGTGGTATGTGTTACGGTGAAAGGTAGTGACTAGCCCAATATTACTAAGTGATGGCTGAGTTGGGATGAGATTTTTAGCTTGTCACTGTGGGTGATACTCAACTAAGTTTTATTCAGCAGAGACCCACTGAAATTAATAATATGACCTAACTTTGCAATGTTAATTTATGCCAATGAATTTCCTCAGAGTAAAACTTAGTTAATAAGCACCTTGTGTGTTGTAACCTGCCCTGAGATCTCCAATAATGAGGGATGGGCCATAAATGTGCCAAGCAAACAAATACATAAAATATTAAAATGACAGTGATCAACAATGACAGTGTGTGTGTGTGTAAAGAGAAGGGATGAAAAAGAGGGGGTTGTGTGAGACAAGGAACATAGTGACTGATAACATGAAACTGATTAAGAAGGCTAGTGCATAAGCCAGTCTGCAGCCACAACAAAATTGTTGTCTTTGTTGCTACAGCAATCGTATGTGTTTTCCATTCACTTAAGCCCCTAAGAGCTTCCTGAAAATAGTCAAAACATTCCCTTAATCAGACTCCTGATTAATGTAAATGACCAACTACCTGGTGCTAA